TAATCACTGTAGTGCTGAGTGCTTTGCAAATGTCTTCATTCCCCTCATAAGGCCTTGGCTTAGGAAGTGTAATGTTTAATGTATTTAAGCAGTGTGGTTGACGCCGAGGCATAACATTGTTGTGGTGGCCCCTTTACAGTTGAACGCTAGGGTCAGGAGGCCTGGTGCACATAGAGGAAGCCTGAGTGATGGCTCTCACATTAGAGTGACAGGAAGTCAAGCTGGGAGGAGACGGGGAGAGCGGGGAGAGAATAGGGGGGACTGGGAGGGAGCCATGTTGGCTGATGGATCAGGCATATTGGTTGTACAGTGGCTGGGGCTTAAGGCAGTCCACGATCTTTCCCGAGCCAGTTGGCTTGTATGTGTTTTGCCTGTCAGCTGTAATGAAGGCTGATGTGTTGCACTGAGCCCAATCTCTTCCTCTTCCAGAAGTGAATCCACGTCTGCGGCTTTAACCTCTACACTTGCATGTATACATGTACATACGGCCTCCAAATATTCTTGTACTTGTTCTTGTATTTTAAGAATTGTCCTCGCCAAACCAGAGTCTCCAGTGTTTGCTGTCGACTCCTTGGCTTTCAGATGTGATTCGGTTGATTTGATGAATGTTGATTTCAGAGTTTGCTTATTGTGGTCACTTGCTGAACCCATGCACTCTCACAGTGCTACCTGTGCCAGTTGATCCCTGTTCTTAAATTCACATCATCAATTCATCTCCAACAGGACATTTTTCAGTTGATTGGCTAATGCTGTTCATCTGGCTTTTCATAAAATTTAATCAGTCTTTCATCAACATTTCATTGTGTGTGTTTGTATTTAAATTTTGCCCTGCTTTTGAATGTACTCATTGCTGGTAGCAATAGTATTTGCCACAATCACACAATGCTACAGAAATGCATGTACCTGTAGTGTACATGTACTAGCTAGTACGTTTATGCCTGTTGATTTTGGGGCAATAGTAGTGAAACATGCTGTGTTGTAAGTCCATAGTTTTACTGGTGCCTGAAAGTGCATTTGCCTCGTCACAACTGACACTTCATTCCTCACTCGACAGCATCCTCACTCTGCACTGTCTCTCCTCACCCCTGCTTACCCTCCCCCCATTCCTGCATCTTACATTGGAGGAAATCTTATCAAGCTCTATCAGGTGACTCGCCCATGTTCCCGGCCAGTGAGTGTAGGAAACAATTACCCCCATTTTGTGCTGGCGCAATCTGCTGAGGTGAATGATGGAGAAGTAGCGGGTCGTCTGTCAGCAAGGTGCACCACCATGTTCACGTTTCCCCCCCCACCCCCACCTTGCGCACCAGCAAACCCTTCCTTTTGCTCTTACCTGTAGGTTCCTACTGTTTGAGAACAATGCCAACGTTTGCTTATACAGCTTTACTTTGAAGACCGTCATGTTGAATGCACAAAGTGAGAGGCATCGGTCCATGTCTTAGATGACATGGATATGGCACTATGCGTGCTGCATGTCATCCAGTAATTTCTGTAATGAGGGCCACTTGTTATATGGCCAAGAATGCTAGAGACACCATACTTCTACATTCCCTGCATTTTTAGTCCTGTTATCAGGGGTGAAACGTATTTGTTTTCGTATCTTGAAAAACAGCTCTTTCCCTCTGTCTCGACGCCAAGAGAAATTTGCCTTTTCATCACACGTCACAAAAAATACAAGACTTATATATGTAAATGCCCTTAAACTGCTTAAGCAACTTTAAATACCTGAGTTTTGCGCCGAATGGTCTCAAAACCACCATCTGTGTAACACACTACAGCTGATACCCCCCAAAAATTTAAAACCGACAGAAATAAATATCAGTCAAACACAAATGATTCATACTTTTTTTAACACTGCTGAGTGTTTACCTCATTGATGTGTTACCGGTTGTGTTTTTTACCAGTGTTCCGTTCATGTATTACAACCAGGAAAGGCCAAAAGTGACTCTCTTTCACCAAAACTAATCCATAAATGAACATGGAATGTCTCACATTTCATTTGTGAGGACGTCATTTCCCCCCCCCCAAATCTGCCAGCAATTCTCAAATCCTTTTAATTCAATAATATAAAGGAATGGCACTGTATCAGTTTCGTAATACAATCTGCACAAGCCCAGCCTGACTTTCATTCGAAATAAGATTGAATTTCCTGGTGAAGGTGTAGCCGTCCCCCCCTCCTCTCCCTTCTATCGAACCCCCATCGCCTCTTGCTCCGTGGCTTCAATCTGAGCATTCCTTCCTGTGCAGAGAGACATTAAATGTTGGTTGTGATTGATACACTTAAAGATTTTAATGCTGACTGACACTTCCCTCAACAACTCGCCTTGATAACATTGAGCCTATTGCCAGTTTTCCACACTGAAAGCAACAGTGTGTTCGGGACTGACTTCAGTCCAGTATGTAAACATCATTGATCTTTACTGTAAAAAGTATTTGTTGGTACAGTGTATAGATTTATGGGAGTCGGTATTTTCATCTAAAGTGTAAAAGGAAACACCTTACGTTATACAAATTTCATGCTCCTTTTGGGTTAGAATGATTCTTCTTCATTAACAGATTTTCATTAAACTCAGGGGTAGACTTGAATGTCCTTCGATGTCACTTCTACGAGTACAAGGCTAGAAGTGGCATTGTTAGAGATATCGCTTGTACATTGGCCAGATACTGTTTGAATGATAGAGTTTCTGTTCTATGGGCCATGAATTGTTAGCAGCAGGGCTCCTTTGGTCGGAATTGAACTTTGCTGGTTTACAAATGACTAGGAAATGCACGCATTATGGTGTTGTCGTTACCAGCAAACTGTGCAGTCTCGACCAACATGACTTTTTCAACCGATGAGGGGGCATTTCTGCTCGAGGCAGATAGGATTTCAAGTATTTCTCAAGTTGGTTAATTTCTGTCTGGTTTTAGGAGGGCTATGTTGAAATCACTTACCTTCCCAAAAAAATCTCCAGAATTGGGGACTCCCATCTTCCCAGGAGGAGTGTGGATTATTTTGGAATTACCCAGGTCATTTCATCATCAACAAATTGAAATGCCAGTATTGTATGTGGACACTTTGTAAAATTGAGCAATATACAATTTTAGTTTCACAGACTGACAAGCAAGCATATAGTGGGTATACCATTTGAAGAAAATTGCATTAAAAAGGGTTTTTTACATGAATTTACGACATCATTTACTTGTGGAAGGGGTTAAGAAAAAGTGTACCTGGAAACCTGGAGGAGAATTAACGTGGAGAATTCAGAAAAGTTGCACTTTGTGAAAATACACCTGCACTAAATGCAGAAAGTGCTCAGTTACAGTTCATGTAAACCAAAACTATGCACTTCAGTGAATATTGTGCAAAATAAGTGCACTCAAGTAGCTCTGTGTGTCAGTTCACAGTATCAGGGACAATTGTGCATTAGGCGATCGTATTGTAGGGTCTCAAGCAAAACTCTGGCATATGGTCAAAGTTTTCTTACTTGTTTGTTGAGCAGGTTTCCAGTCTAGACAAGGTTTTATTAACATTGAAGAACATGTGCACACACGTTGCATGCATATGTACCTGCAAACGTCATTATACCCCACACATTTATCGTCTCGTGCATGTACAGTATCTGAAGTTAAATTGGTCCAAATCACTTGAACATGTACTTGAATACCAATGAGCTGATGCAGTTTGACCCATTTGACATCATGTCTGAGGGAGCAAGCTATCCTTTGCAATGGGCCTGCCTCATCAGTTGGGGTGTAAATTCGAGTCTACAAGTGAGGGATGAATTAGAATTGTGGAAATTCAAAAGAAGTGGCTTGATTTCTGATATAGGGGGGGCCTGTTTGTTATATGTTGTTCATTTTTCATAATATATGAAATGTACATGTTTCCAGCTGCATTTTATATTAGGTCATTTTTCCGCCAATATTACATGTTCTGGAAATGTTCATTCAAGGTACATGTACCGGTACATGTACGTCCCTGTACTAGTTACTGCCCTATTAACCCATTGTTCCTCGTTTCTGTCTGTCTGTTTCTGTTTTTGTGTATTTACAAACATCTGGCTCATCCGTGGCTGAAAAGTGAGGGGGGGGGGCAGTTACTCCCACCCCCTCCTCGTGGATCAATGCCCCCCGCTGTCCTACTAACAGTAGCTCTGACTTCACGTGTATTTCATTTTGAAAAACAGGGGAAAGGGGATATAGAAACCCTGAAACCCAGAGACGTAGTGAGCAGGGTGGGGTGTTGAGGGAGCAGGTTTTTCAAGTTACCCGAAGCTGAGAACTTTAGCATTTGTGTGACCCCCTCTCGGGCTCCCTGACAGCCTACACATCTTCCGACTGAGTAAAACTGCACATCCCTTAGCCATTAACTTTCCCCCTCAAATAACTGGCAGAACCCTTGGTTCATATTACCAACAGGTCGGCTAAAACAACTCAGCATGTGAAAACATGACTATCGTGACTTTCTATTAATAAGAATCACTTGTTTGGGCCAACCACAAACAGATCTGCTGCTATGCAGATTACCATATCCCCACAGCCAAAGTTTGGTCTATGGGAACTCTTTTGGGGCACTTGAGTGCAATAGTGACTACTTATACCAATGATACCTGATGTGTAGTATGTCCTACTTCTGTTGCACCTATGTGTACTGGGCAAACCCAATTTTTATACAAATACATGTACACCTACATTGAAATATTGAGCTCAGGGGGCTTTATGTGTAGCTTTGTTCTCAAGTAACGATGGCTCTTGAACACTGACTGTAAACACAATCTGTCGATGGTGGAGTGTCTCTGAATTATTTACCAAAAAAAGAAGGAAAATGGAAGTAACATTTTTAATCTGTAAAAATTTGTATTTGTATATATTAACTATTTTCCTCTGAGTTTTTGGGGGAAGCATTCCTGAAGTGGTTGCTGTTTTATCTTTAGAAATAGAACACACCTACATGTACACAGCATGGTACACATACCTGTTTATCAGTTATTGCCTTCTCTTGTCTTGCTCTCTTTCAGTTTAATGATGGAGTTCCACAGCTTTGCTTGTTATCAACCGGACCTCACAGTTCAAGCCCCAGTTCTCTCTCTCTGCCCACGCTGTTGTGTAAGAGAAGGCAGACCTTGCCAGTGCCGCTGTGGAATGGTTCTTCTTGACTCTTCACTGGTGCAGCAACAGCGCTGGGGGCATTACATCATCCTTCCTCGAGCCAATTTCAAGGTGCTGCTAGAGCATTGACCATTGACTTAGTACAGAAAATATTTTTTTATCCACCGGTTACCAACCAAAAAACCATAGAGTGTACATTGCCTGTGACTGGTTCTAAGGTGGTTTGATTTTTTTGTTATGCTTAGCATTTAAATTTCTTGGCAAACTGTTGTGTTGAGCTCCTTGAAACTGGACTCAGGTTTTCTGGAAATGTGCGTAACTGCATGGCGGTGCTTTTTTCAGGTCATGTATGTATATATCGGTCACTGTGATAATCTTGGAGAGGAGAGGGACAAGAAAAAAGGCTTACCTAGTATTGCAGTGAGGAAGTCTGTGCTTTAGTTTGCTTGCATTGAAGGACCCCACTTCAAGGCCTCATTCGCTATGTCCAATGCTGTTGAATTTAGTAGGTGTTGGAAAAACACCCGATCCACCACACAGAAATGGATCACTTTGCTTCATGGCATGCATGGGGTTATAACTTCTGACTAGTACCACTCAACAAAGATGTTAGACGTTCAAGAGAAACCATCAACACGTAAGGCCTTACTGCTTACTTGGTCTCAGTAGAGTTCCAGCACTGCATGTGTTTCAGAGGTTGCATGTTCAAATCTTGCCTCCTAGTTTCTTTGTTAATCTTTATAATTACTATGTAAGCACCCAGGCAGCTTCCCTGTATGGTTTATTGTAACCAGTCTAAAGTTTTTGCCATTCAGCATTGAAAATTTTTGAGTCCATGCACTTTCATATCTAAGAGTAAACTCTGCCTGATTTGAATATTTATGGGCTGGAATATTACCAAGTCAAAGTGCAAAATGAAATTGCAGTCACTTCACAGACAGTAGGCAGATTTGCTCAAACTGATATGATTAATTCTGGTTTGTTGAGTGGGTGCGCATATTGTCCAGGCTGCATTTAATTTGCTTTTCATGTGAGGGCTGCGAGATGGAACCTCTAGCAAGTACATGTATTAAACCATTCATTTGGCAAAATTTCTACACAGCCAAAATTTTGATGCAAAGGTTTTCAATGAGTTTTTGTCTATGCAGATAGCTCCAGGGTGCCCCTGTAGCTAAAGCCTAGCTTGCTTGGTTGAGTAGAGGGAGGAGAGATTTGGATCCTTTCCCCATCTTCTTTGGCAGCTACTTCGGGGGTTTTCTGCGTTGCCTCAAAGTGTTTAGCTTATAAGGTTGCTGCTAGCAGAGATTTGTCGCTGGTGCTCATAACATGCCACACACATACTTGTACATGTAGACTAGGTGCATTGTACTACAACTATTGTAACAGAGTGTGCCAGAGGCTGTATAGTGCGTACACTTTGCTTTTACGTTCATGCAAGGGAAACACCAACACTTCAGAGCATGTTGTGCATCAGTGACACCGAAGTGTCCACACTCAACTTGTAATCCTAGAATTTTCACCCACAGAGGGCCATGGTGTGCACAAAGACAATTGGCCACATATATCACATGAAGTTCTGACTGCTTTCAAAAACCACACCTTCATCACTAGCTGCACTTTTTTCTTGTGTCAAAATCAGCCCTCCCCCCATCCCAGCAGATGGCAAGGGGAGGGGGGAAAAAAGATACCAAAAAGAAAAGAAAATGAAAAAGGTGGAAGGCAAGAAGATGATAAGCGTGAGCAGACATTAGCAGTCGTGGGTGTCTTGCCACATTACTTCTTGTCAGTCATCACCCGATCAACTCCAGTCATGTGCTCTGCTGTGTGAAGGGCCGTGTCAGTGCACTTAAAACATGCCCATGCAAGCTTCCTCTTGGCCTCTCAGAGTTCAACCACAATTGACAAGTTTGTGCTAAGAGATCTCAGCCCCAGTGTCCAAGTGAAATTTTGCTGGCTTTTCTCTCAAAAAGGGGCAATGTCTGCACGAACCACTGATGAGGCGGTGCCATAGATTTGTTGTTTGCCGGGGGGGGGGATGGATAGATGGAAGTCTTGCTTACTTGCAAAGTCACAATTAATAATCTTTTTTTCAAAAATGCACACTGGAGACACACGCATTTTCAGTTGACAGTTGGTCATATTGAATTGAAAGTGAGGTGAACTTTTTTATTTAGGGAAACCTAAGAATAATTTGAGTGTAGTAAAATAAAATTTATTACAAATCAACTTCATTTATAGAGGTGAATGATTTCAAATTTGCAATTTATTATATCCAAATGTTATAAACATTTTTGGAACCTGAAATAATCTGGCACCACCCAGTTTGACAGATTACATTGAATAAGATTAAGCCTTGGGGAATGTGATAAAAAATGGCTCCCCTGTGAATCAGATCTATTGTAATTTGGCAGGCTACTGGGAAAGAGGATTCTAAATCATCCATCCAGCTCATAAACCTCTGTCCATGTCTGTGTGCAAGTGTAGACTTGTATTCATTACTACTTTTTCTACTCAGTGCTCTCCCCCACTCATTTCAGGGGTATACTCAGGCAGGTGTACTTTTCTTTGCAAGTTACAAGTCTTGCGGCCCAATCAGTGGGGGGGGGCAGTTTGGATGTGCCTGAAACTAGGTCAAGGCATCCTCTGGGAGGTTCCCCTGGAGATTGCAGCAATTGCCCCATCTGGCACCCACAGGCGTTGACATATTTGTCACTGCTGACTTATCCATCTCCAAATCCTCCTATTTATTAGGGGAGGACTTATCTTGTCTATTCTGCTGTGGTGAGTGAGAATCACATCTCCTTGCCCCCCCCCCATTTATTTGCCAGCGACACTTGTTCCAGCGCTTTAGTCCCCTTTTCCCACCTATTCAAAGAAGGCATTGGTAGCTTGCTGTATTGCTGTATTGTTTTGTTGCAGGTAGTTGGTTTTTCAGGGTTACCAAAGAAAAACAGATGCAGGTGCAACAGCTTACAAGAATATATACCCATTTCCTTTTAATTGAAATAAAAGGAACCTTTGTTTTGCAGCGAATGGGACTTTGTCGTGGAGAAAATTGACTATGGCAGCTCGAGGTACCAGCCTTTGTCTTGTCTCATGTCCCTCTTCTGATGCTCCCGTCCTGTGCCGTAATATGTATGTGAGACTCGTGGCTGCCATGTTGCTGTCAGTACATTTACTACAGCAACCATCCAGGTTGGCAGTTTGTTCGTGCACTTTGAGGTTTTTTGAAGGGCGTTCCCTCCCAATTTTCACAGTTTGTGAACATGTCAAAATGCAGTTTGTATTCGTTAATATTTTTGCATTGACTTGTTATCACTGCTCATCAAGTGAAGCCCTAGTACTGTGAAGCACTGGTAAGGAGTGTACACCAAGTGACATTTGAATCTGACCTGAATCTGCCTTTTTGGGAGGTTTGGAAGAGACTTCAATCCAAATTCATTGATACCTTAGACAGTTTTGCCATTCCTGATTGGTTGAGAGCCTGTCACATGGCCAGTCTTGCACAGTTGATAAAACACTGGCTGGCTGTGGGCCACCTTGCACAGCACACACCATGCCTGTGCCATTCTCCATATAAGGAGATTGTTTGTGACTGCTCACACGAGAAACATACCATAACATGGTTAGAGGGGTGTTGAAAAAATTAAGTAACATTGGGGAACAAAATCATGCGAAATGTGTGATTTGGCCTGTGTAATGTTGAAGACCAGCCAAGTACTTGTTCATCCCTCAGTCCAAAATCAGAGTGAGAACACAGTTAGGGCAAATAAATGGCACAGTTGGTTTGTTTACTCTTAGTGCTGTAGTTATCAGATTTTTTGTTTTTAAGATGGCTCATGTGTGGTTCATTTCAAGGCCTGTCCGCCTCAAGCAGAAGCACCCCCTCATCGGTTGAAAAGAACCATGTTGGTCGGGAATTTTTACTTTGATGGTAGCGATGCAACCATATCACAGGTGTATTTCCTAGTCGTTTGTTAACCCGGTTCTGACAAAAGGAGCCTCTGTTGCAAAGAAAATAGCACGCTTTCTTGGTCCAGCTCAAGGCCCTATTGGTCCTCCTAGATGAAAGGCTCTGTGAGACTTCCTGAATGTTCCTGCATGCAGTCCCAGCTTCACAGCCTATTTATTATGCATGCTGTTTTTAAGCTATTTATAAGAATAGCCAAAAATGAAAATGAAATGAGCATACTCTTTTATCACAGTCTCTTCGCATCAGGAAATATTTCTGCAAGAGATCTTTTTGGTCAGGAATTGGGAATTGTTGGACCAGCAACCTATCAACTGTAAATGCTTTGTATGTAGTGATCCGTATATAATGATACTGTGACAGTTCAAGTCTGCACTTACTTGAATGCATGAACTCTGGGATTAACTTCATGCCACAGTGTACTGATCTGTTTGTAGACTGTGCCTTTTGTAAGAATATGTTGTGCTTGTAATTATGGACTGTCCTCTGAGGTACCTGTTATTGATAAAAGTTTTACTATCGCCCAGTAGTTTTATTTATTTAAATTGCTTTTTTTTTAACCAAAAGTATTACAAAGTATTTGACGATGCAGTAACCAACATTAAATGTTGATGTTTGACTTTACTTATTGAAACACTATGGTTTTAGATGCTGGCATTTCATTCACCCAATTCAGTTTGTGGCTCTTATGGGTAAATGGTTGATCTTGATTACAATAATGCCACTGCAGAGTAATAGTATGAAGTATGTTTTTACTAAGGGTGAAACTTGTGTCAACCTTTAGTCTGGTGTGCAGTGTTTGTAAGCTGACTTCTTGGTTTCTAGCACCAAGCGTAATGGGCAGTCACGGAATAGAGTACATTCACTCAGGTATGTCTTGACCAGAATTGGGGGAGGGGTTGGTGAGAGCGGTTTCAGGCTCAGAAGAGATGCAGTGTGTCACCACTGAGGAATGCATTTTGTCTTCCGTTTTTGGACACTCCGTGGTAAAAACTCAATTGCAGTTGTACATCAGACAAATTATTTTTTTGACCTGTCATGTTAAGCATACATCATCTGTGAGATGATTTAATCGCTCCTAGCACCCTCATCCTCTCTGTAATTGTGGTAAAGAAAAATATGTCCAAGACTTGACCATCTTTCAATTAGCTTGGGGTTTTCCCTCAACCAGTGTAGCTGCATGAACTCTGAAACAAAGAGCACACATGGAGTGCAGTGGAAGACAGAGAGGGGGCCAATGCATTATTACTCGCCTTCATAGTGTTATCACAAAACTGAGAGCAAGACGCTACAGATCTCAATCTACAGGATGTCTCAAAAATGCTGCACCCCAAAGTAACATTTATTTACTCACAAAATGATTGTCAGAAAGTGGTTTCATTTGGGTATCAATTGAAGCTTAGAATGTGATCTTATCAAACCTGGAGACTTCATTTATATCTGATGATACCTTGTGGAGGTAAGCTCGTAAAACAACTGCTGTTTTGTTCCGTCCAATGGGATTTACCACAGCGAACAAAATGCTGTGTTTATTCCGTTTAACACCCTCCAAACACATCAGATCATTGGAAAGGCCTACAGAATGAGAATACAGAACTGGATAGGGTTCTGTTTTATGTTACATTTGTAAAACCCTTATTATTTTGCAAGAAACAGATCCTGAAATGGTTCAAAGTAATGAATGTTAGAAAGTAGACATTCAACACTTTGCTACAAATTGACTGAGGTCAATTGCACAAAGTCAACTATAGTTGTGTGATAATTTAGAATCTTAATTCTGTGCTGGTGTACACTTTCAAGATAAACAGAAATAATTCATCAGACAGAACAAAGAAAAATATGTTGTCATGTAATTAAAGATATCTTTGCAATGCAAGATGACCTTCAAATGCATTTCCCAGCATAAATAGAAAAAAACACTGTGAGCTTTAGTATGTCACCAAATCAACGATTTCTGACCGTTACTGCAAGAAAAAAAAGGAATATCACCTTTGAACACGAGCTCCATTTCTGGGAAGAGACACACTGTACAGAGTTGTTGGCATGTGGGCCCCACAAGAACTCTCTTAACCAAAAGCAAAGACGCTACACATGCAGTGGTGTAGCCAGGATTTTACAAGTGGGGGGGGGGGCACAAAGGGGGCACCAGCTTTCAGTGGTGTGGTTTTTTTGGGCAAGTTTTTGTTAGCCTTGTTCAATATCGTTACTTTTTTCTTTCTTTCTTTCTTTGGGGGGGGGGGTGTGCCCGGAATTTGTGGGTGGCACGTGCCCCCCTGGCCCCCAGTGGCTATGCCTTTGTATACATGAAGGGCTTTGAAGGATCACACACCTGGAGGATTAATACAGAGAAATTCAAATTTGAACAGGTTTGACAATTGTGAATAAAATTGTTCACCATTCCCTATTTAATTGTGTTGTGCTTCATTGTTCCGGCTCCTAAATTCAACAAGTGTCAGTGGGAGTAGGGGAGAGAAAATGCCGAAGTCTTTGATCAGTGTGCTTATCCAGTAACTGCAGATGTTGTCATTTTAATTGTGTAGTTAGTAAATATTTACATGTACATGAATTTGGGACATTTGCTGGGTGGAGATTTTTTGGAAGTCAGTCTCTGAGAATATAATGTTAAAGGGCAATAATTATTGTTATGAAAGCTGTATATGGATTATACAGCATTTTGGTGTAAACATTGAAAAAAGATATTACAGATGTATGACATTGTCGATTCATTTGTTTCTGTTGCAGAAATTTAATGCTGTGTAAATAGAATGTGGATATATTGTTACAGGTTGTTCTTAAAGGAAGAAATAAAGAATTTTGCAAAGCAGCTGTGGGTTAACATGCTTTTGATAATATTTAATATAAATAGAAAACAAACATGCTTTCTTTCTCAGCTGTATTTAACTTGTGTTGTGTAAGGTCATTGTCATTATCGGTTACAATACATGTCCAATTAAATTTAGCTTCTAATGTGCTATTTGACACTGCTGGGTTTCTACTGTCTGTGTTGTTATTTATTCTGAAAGAGCACGTCAGATTTACACAAGTTGTGTAGCTATTTTCCTGTTTCTTCATTAGCTTTGATTCCTATTGGTATTGCAGTTTTAGTCAATTTAAAATAAGGTTATAAATGGGGGGTAGAACAAACTTGTAAAAAAGTGACAGAAGCTTTTTTAAATGAACCAATTTTGAAAAAGAATCAAAACTTTGTCCGAATGCGAGTGATACTTTTAGCTCACCTGCTGTTGACATTATACCATGTTGAAACAGTGCCAGGCTATAAGATTAAAATTTAACAGCATACGTCACTTTTATTTGGAAAAGAAATGTAATTTAATGTAAGTTAATCTACCAGCATATGTTTTAAGAGAAAACAGCCCATTTTCGTCACCTTTCAAATGACCGTTTCATTGTTTTTCCTTAATACTAACGTGCGTGACGGTATAGTACAGTCGCCAGCTGGTCCCTAATTTCGTCACCTATTGTCAAGTATGATTAGTTTTCACAATGGTGGCGAAATAAGGGACCTTGCGACTATACGGTCACGCTTGTTGCTAGGAACAACTCGACCTTTATCCTAAATTACGTAATCGAAACGCAAAGGACATCGGCCTGATCGATCGCCACGTTAAACCATAAACAAATACGTACATTCCCTTTTTATAAAATCCCGTAAATTTCCAAGGCATTTCCAAGAAAATTGAAGGGTACCCGGAATGGTCTGAAAATTATTTCCTCAAAATCAGCCCATTTCACATTCAAGGAACAAAGAAAACTATGAAAAGTGCACGATGCGGTCACTCGGCCTCGATAACTTTCCCAAAAATCTCCCCTCGAGATTTGGAGTACTTGAAAATTCTACATTTTCTCCAACCTGCAACCGAACCACCTCAGTGGCAACAAATGCAACTTCATGATTTAACAAAGAGGGCGCTCTAAACCGTAGTTAGTTGTATGGTAAATTTTGGTTCTAGTTCTATGGACCCGAGTTTTTTAGTGTCGTGTTTGTCATTTTCACAAGCGTACAATGTTCACCCTGCCCCGCCCCTCGAGAGCGTCTAAGAAAAATGACGAGCTGTCCGATGATCGTTATGAACAGAATTTATATCAGGCGGCATGGTTTATGGTCAAGTTTAATTTCTTTTAGGCCGCCAGCTTCGAGGAATCCTAATTAGGTTAAGTCGGGTTTTTCTGACTGAAGTACGTCGAGGTGGTTACGTGATGGAGACTTTTTCATGCAGAAAATAGCACTGTACATGTAGACGAGCAATATTGAAAACGACCCGTCATTTCAACGTATTATAATAAGAAAAAGCTAGCATGTCACGGTTAATTTTTCCCTATACGATTTTGGGGTTTCTTTTATTCTATTAATTTTGTTGCTTTACGTGATCGTGTGCTGTTTAAGTAGTTTTTAACCTGTATTAACTTTACTCTGCATTTCATTTTTGGAGCTTGAAAAGCCTGAATGATATACGACTTGAAAATCTCCATGTAAATGACGAGTAAAAATCCTTTGGCGGGTATTTTTATCCTAAGATTTGACCTGCAATTTTTCACAAGCCTGTCGGGTCTCCTGTTGACCGCCTGACGGGATGACTGAAGTGATTTTGCCCGTCTCGGGATTACAAAAATAATGTTTCCATCTGGAACAGGCACCGCTCACAGAATCGGTATTCATCAGAGCGAACGAGAGGTCGGTGAACTGGTTGACAGTGACTGATCAAACTGGACAGACTGCCACCTCGGTGACACAATCCAGGAATCAAAGTGATCTCGGACGGTTCCATTTGGCAGAAAAGGCAATGCGTCACTGCCTTCATCATTATCGTTCTTTTGTTTTCAGACAGACTTATTTCAGGCGCATTATTCCATACGAGGGTGATCCGATCAATAAATTACCCAGCTCCAAGAAATTTTAATAGCCCTTGGCGTGTTTTTTGAAGATAGGGGAAAAAAATCAAGGTCTAGACCTACTGTTTGGGACGTACCCTAGTGATACCCTCTCCTTTCGGGATTCTGGCGTTAGGATACATGCAGTTTTGTGTATAGGGCGTCGCCTGTGCCATTGACGTATCTGTCTTGTCTGAACTCGACACTGGGATCAATTTTGAGGAGTTCACTGAACCTGCGGCTGCTTGTGAACTTTTCGTGATACTTTTTTTTTTTTACAATGATGAATCTCAGTCGCCTCCGCTGCTGCTGCTGTCGCTCACGGTTGAGAGTCGGCAGGGCATAAGACTAGAGCTGAGAATAACCTGACAGTGCCCACCAACTTAGTCTAAAGGACCATTTTAGAGAGTGTGGTCACGTGGGGCACGGCCCGGCGCCGGCGATGGATGCTTGTCAAGTAGGGGCGGGTTTATGCGTCTAGGGGCGAGGTAATGCATCGAGGGGCAATAACACGATTCTCAAGCTACGTGTATATTTATTTACTTTTAAAAGAAGCAGAGTTTGTAATGAGGCATCACTGCACCTTATTTGCAAAGGGGTGGATGCAGAAATGTCAGAAAAGTGGGGCCTGTGAAGTCCCCATATGAAGCGCAAATCCCTAATACATGTACATGTACGTGAAGCCATTTTGGCAGAAGGGCCAGAGGTGTTGAGAGAATATTCTTTCGAAACAAATTCTCAAGCTGATTTCATTTATCTGTTCTTGGGATGCCAAACCTACACAAAATTACAGTATGAATGCATGTCTAAGTAAAATACAAACATAAGTTTCATTAGGAAAAGCATACACAGGTTATGTTACAAAATTATACTAAAACAATTTCAATGGCGAGACAATGGAACACGTGACAACACTGCAAATCTCACCTCAAGCGATTTTCAGGAAATTATTGTGGCGTCCGATCGATGATCGAAACGGTACATGTACATAATACTTCTAAAAACTTTGAAAAAAAACCCACAGTCAATTATGTTTTAATGAAACAAGAAGTAAGGTCCTCTTTCGATGCAGTTACAACACTGGATTTGTCTGAAAGATTTTGTATGTGTCAATAATAATGGGGGCCTATGGTTGCAACCATTGGCTTAGGCCGTGTCCGAAACGGGCTTCCAGAGCTACGGCTAGGTCTATTGTCTACGCGTCTCCACGCATTTCCAATGGAGCGAAGACCTAGACCTAGCTATGGAGCGTCAAAAGTGGACAACCCCATTTTCTCATTTTCTGCGAGTAGATTTTCGGGATTTTGCCTAAAGCATTTTCAAAAAACGCAATATTCCGCTAGGAGAAATTTGGATTTTACTTTCAATGACTCTTCGTGGTGCGTCAAAAGTGGACAACTAAAAACTACAAATTCCCTCTAGCAAATTTTATTTGATGCTCCCCCAAAAAGGACAACCCCATTTTCTCATTTTCTGCTAGTAGATGTTCGAGTTTCGGGAAGTTGCACCACCCCTTTTCATAAAACCCAATTTTCTGCGAGCAGAAATTTGGACTTCACTTTGCCGACGGCAGGGTGGTCCAAAAGTGGACTAGTGGAAAACTGAAACGACCGTTGTGCTCCCTACTCTCAGAATGGAGCAGTCTTGGGAAGATGGGAGCCAACATTGACGGTAGAGGGTCAATTGTGTGCATCTGACGGATGGCGTCACAGCTCGGGAAAAAATGTGGGTGATTCCTGTTGAGAAACTTGCAAATAGGAGAGGGACTGCCCAAAGCCTGACAGTCCTTTATGGCACCGCCAACTTCCGACCTCCTGGCGCACTGTGTAATTAGAATGACGATGGCGACTTGCCGTCCGAAATTTCCATTTTAAATAAATTAGCGCATGGTGATATGTCCCCTAAACTATGGTAGCTGTAATAAACCATTTGTCCATGTCCAGTACAATAATTATTTTTTTTTGTAGAACGAAAAAATGTTGTAATTGACAAAGTCATGTCAAGAGAAGAAGTTAAGTGCTGTTTGATCAAGTGAACCAAGAGTTTCAAAAACTTGAACTTGCTGATATAATTTTGCCATCCCACAAATTCCAAAACACGTATTCAGCCAATAATTCCAATGACAAAAAAGGATAGCCACGAAGAAAATAAATCTTTCAGCTAGTACACCAGTCGGTCACTGATATGATTTAATTTAATATCTTATTATTCAAATCTTTGTTCAAGTCATCAATGCAAGTGGGAAGTTATAGTGGAGGCCTGGGTCATTGATATGAAGACAAATGATTCAAAGTGACAATGTGAAGAGATATTAACGCAATGAAAACACAAACTTGCAATTGACGGCTCGGAGCAGTCATCAGATACATGTACTGTGAAATGAACGGTGGATGGTATAATAAATCTTATATCTGAATATCACTGAAAAAATTGGTTGTTCACTTTTGCCACTCTGAGTAACTTCCACTAAAATCATTTCACAATTTTTGTCAGTCTTGGACATATTATTTTCAATAATTTCCCTTAGAATAATACTCCCCTCCGATAAATCCCATGAAATTCACATCCTTGGCGTGAAGAGGGTCCGATCTTTTTAAGTTGCATGGAAAAGGTCAATCACAGCAAAGGAATGTCCCAATGACGCCTGATGCCCGTCAACACACGGCTCCGCACGTTTGCTGCACTACACAAAAGACCGTCACTGTGGCAACTACTTCGCAACTTTCGTCCATATTATTATTTTTTTTTCAGGGTTGGGTGATGCCAATCTTCCCAAGACTGTTCTATTTCAACGTATAGGGAGAAAGATATCCTTCCAGTTTTTAACTTGTCCACTTTTGGACCACCCTGCCGTCGGCAAAGTAAAATAAAAAAGGGTGGTACAGTACAACTTCCCCAAACCCGAACATCTACAAGTACTAGCAGAAGTTGGTCTTGTCCTTTTTTGGGAGCATCAAATAAAATTTGCTTGCGGAAATTTGAAGTTTTTACTGAGTTGTCCACTTTTGACGCGTTACGAAGACTTCTTTGAGTAAATTTCCAATTTTTGCTGGCAGAAAAATTGAGTTTTTGAAAATGCTTCACGCAAATTCCCCAAACCGAAAAACCTACTAGTGGAAAATGAGAAAATGGGGTTGTCCACTTTGGGAGCATGACAGTAATTTTGTCAGTGGGAAATTGAAGTATTTTGTTGTCCACTTTTGACGTGCCACGAAGACTTGTTAAAGTAACATCCAAATTTCTCCCAGCAGAAAATTGCGTTTTTTGAAAATGCTTTAGGTAAAGTCCAAAATCCCGAAAATCAACTCGCAGAAAATGAGAAAATGGGGTTGTCCACTTTTGACACTCCATACGTAGTTCTATACACAGATTCTGATGCAGCCTCACACACAAGTGTGTATTTGCCTGCAACTGGGGACCCCCTACTGTTCCTTTTTTGTTTGTACTTTAACTTTTTTAGAAGACCACCCATATGTTTTGTACACAGTTGTCAATCGGGGACCTTCTGTCAATCGGGGACCTTATTGTCCTCTATTGTTCAGGGTCCCCAATTGAATGCAGAAACAAACTCACTTGTCTGAATACGCTTCATTGTAACCTCAAATTTATAGAGGGCGCTGTAGTGAAGTGTATGTTCATACAGCTGCAGCTGTACGGTGTACCTGCTGTATACCATCTGACCATGTGTTCCCACTGTGTAATGACCAGCCCGACCGAGACTTTTTTTTAAGTTTAAACCTTAAAAAAGTCTGTAGGCCTACCCCAAAACGTATGCATATCTGTATAAGGGCAGGCTGGAAGAGAGTGTAGGTAAGATAACAGTCTAAAACCGCCACGATTAAGCCTAGGCTTAGGCATGTTAGGTGGAAGCCCGATCACGTGTGCCCAGCCCGCCAAACAATCCGATACGGCGATAGGCCTGCATGCATGTACATGTACATGTATGTACTTGGAAAAGTCAAAGTCACTGACATGACTGACCCCGTTAAACTCCGTGTGACTTCCAACCAATGTAGTTTACGTTAACGGTATGGATTTTTTAAAAATCCAACTTGAGAGGTGAATCCACAGTTTGAACAATGCTTCCCAATCAAATTTTCCCGTGAAAGCAAACTTTAAAAAGCTCATGGCGATTTACTAGGCCCTCTGGCATTTCAGAACATTTTCATGGTGAAAATGACATCAACCAGTTCTGGTTCTTCTGTCTGATTGGTCAGTGTGTGGCCAAACTCATGACACGTGGGACTCAAAAGGGGAAAAGGTAGTGCTGAGGTCTTTGGGGAAAATCAGAATTATTGATTTCATTCTCAACTTTTACATGTACTGGTAGGCCTAAATGTACATGAAAATAGGCCACTATGCCTGAAATTTCACTTTTCATGCACTACAAATATCTTTTACACTATGCGGAAGAATGCATGGAGGAAGGATAAAGACTGCAGCAAAACAAGACATGCATGAGGAAAGCATGCAAATCCCTATACAAAGGAAATAGAGGGTTACCCCTGCCAGATGTGAGTGCAGTTAATGGAACAACCTCCGACCGAGAGAATGAGACCGAATATTTTTTTGGAAAAACAAAATTTTTTACTCACCAATCTCTCACTTCCACCCAACGATGATCGCACCATTCATGTGCTGTTTGTGTTTATCACATTGCGCATGCGTTGGCCTGGCCAATGGCCAAGCTTGCTCTGCATCTCGGTTCGACCAGTTGTAAATACGACCGTCTCTTCTGTGTAACTGCGCTGCACTGTGTGGCTGTGACAGATTACAAGATCTTCCAAGTTGGGAATTCTCGCAGAGGGTCAGGGAACTTCAATGCATTTCTGCATGGCGGTGAGGGTAATTTTGCCCCATTGTGTTTAAAGTCTGTAATGACGTCATGCTGTCTGCAAAAATAGGCCAGTACTATTTTTTTTTTGTGCTGACAGATTTTATATGAAAAATGCGAGCTCTCTACTTACAAACTAGCTAGGGCTGAATCAGTAAATTGGATTTACTGGTGTCATAAGAAAGTGGACATCATTAGAATGGTGGTTGTCAATTTCCAAAATATTTAACCAAGTCCAAGATATTAACAAATTAATCTTGGTTTGTGCTGGGCCCAAAAAGCACACAATTATCTGATAGCAGAGGCTCTGCTTACACGTTTTTCAGTCTAGTTCAGTAAGCACAGCAAAAGGCACGCTAACCTCAGAGAAAAAATTGGCTCAAGTTAGTGACGTAACAAAAGAATTGGAAATCTCTCTGCGTGCCCCTGCAAGTTTAGTGCAAAGCACAGCAGCTGCGAAATGTTTGCTGTGAAATAAATTTACACTGTTGAGCAAATTTTTGTACTAAAGTTAGCAAATAACTTTGTTTAACGGTAAGAAGTGCCGTGAAGTTGTGGTCTGTTCCCGGAAGATTGCAAGGCTGAAGATCCAGCAGATACAATGCATGCGTGTCAGCAGCTGGGAAAGAGTCCTCAGGTTTCCCTTGAAAACAAAATCTTTTGAAACTAGAGAAGCAGGCCAACTTCAAGTTTGATCAACAATTTGTTAACCACTGGTCGATTTTCCCATAGGTTACTAGTCCAAACCGACCATAGGTTGACAGTTTGTAGCTGAAAGAGCTTGCGGTTGCCCATAATTGAAGACACTTAAAGAAATAAATGACAGTGTGGAGGAAGAGGCAAAAAAAATTCATTCCCACAACTTCCACAGGGGATCAAACGGATGAATTTGTGGTTGAAAGGCTCACGTTTTTTTATTAGACCACCATGGTGCATTGAAAGCTACATACATGTAGTCTACCGGTAGTCTAAAAAAAACAACGTTATTTCACATTATATACAGACCTGACCTCATGTACATGTATTTGGAAATGGGGACCAGTTGTACACCAACAAAGTAAACCCAAAAAAGGAGATCACACATACGCACGTACATGTACAGTTGTAAGAACAAAATTACCCCCGTCTTGAAGTGTCAGATCACATACATGTACATGTAAATTTTACAGAGTTGGTTTTCTCGTGACATGTGGTCTGCCCTTTCGTATTATAATGAAACTTCACAATCTGACAACTCTTGTGCTGAGTCTCTGCTATCGTGCCTTCAAGGCTGCAACCAATAAACTTGAGTATTATTGTCTGGAGGGAGCTGCTCAAAGAATCAATCAGAGGGTCATTTACCATGTTTACTAGGTACCAAGTACATGTAAATACATGCAGTTTGTATTGCGTCAAAATGTACAGTGCCTTCCTCTGATATACATGTACATGTGCATGTAGGCTTGTCAGGTGCTCAGCAAAGCTAAACACCATAAATACATGTGTGGACGCCCAAACTTGCTTCACATGCGAAGTGTGGACATTCCTTTGTTTTCCTGTGGTTAAGTTAACTTTGGGAAAATGTTCCTTTTTCTCCCATTGGGCATACTCCTTCGAGCTGGATTTTTGATGAGGATTTCCTGAACTGTTCGTCTTCATTTGCCACAGATAACCTTGACCCAGAAATGCCTCTGAAACTGTTATTTAGAGAGGAGAAAACATTGTGTGGACGTGTGGGAGTCCACACAATGCCATAGCACTCTACATTATGTGGACCTCTTTTGTGCAGAGGTCCACACTATATGACATGTCCACACTATATGACATGCCTGCACTCACAGGCAAAGCAAATGTGATGTTACCAATAATTTGAGGTGAAACTCACAAGAGTTGAAAGTTGTTCGACTTCTGTGAATTTGCAGTTTGAATTACACATGTATGCAACCTGGCAACACATCTATGCATCCATGTTGGCTATCCGGTTCGTAAGTGACTTTGTCACTAAGGTGGACGTGCCCCAATTTGCAGGCTCCTTTGGACGATCGCTGAAGTTGTGCGTTAACTTCCGGTTCCATGGTCCCATGTAAACGATGACCAATGCAGGTACATGTAACTCTATGTGTAGTGCATGTGCAGTGGGCGTGGTTCAAACTGAAGTGACGTCACACTTACGAACCGGATTTGGCCAATTATGAAGTGGCCCCAACCAACCCAAAATGTGCAATTTGAAGCTAAGATGCCGTTTTGCCGTGCCACTTAATATGCTCTTAAAAATGTACAGGTCCGCAATGCAATAAGAGTAGGAATCTACATTTAATTTGATAAAGGATTTTAAGAACTTCTCTGTACTGTTTCAATGTTTAGCCAACACTACAGAGGCTGCCTTCCTTGATGTTATACATGTACATGAATACTACTCAAAAAAGTTAAGGGCCACTTTTTTCTTAATTTGTAATTTTTTTCCAAGCAATGAGTGTGGTCTACATGTAGTTCTTTCATTTTTTGTTTTTTATCTATGGTATCCTCTCATTGGAATACAAGATTAGAAAAACTGTTTCAAAACATCAAATGCACATTTTCAGCAGTAAAATATCTCATTTAAAAAAGATACTAAATAAAAAGTGATCCTGAACTTTTTTGAGTAGTGTGTATCATCAACAATACTCGTGATGGGCCCAATTTATGAATTTAGATTGATGTTTGGGGACATTCAAAATTAGCAATTTTTCCAAAAAAGTAGATGGATTTGGAAAAGAAAAAAGAACATTATTACAATTAGGAGGAATACATTTATTCGGCACGTTTTAAAATGAACACTGGATCATGTCAATCCATTGTCAAACCTGGAAAAAATGGGTTCTGTTTGAATATTTTGGACAATCATTAAGCATTTTACTGAATTTTTTTGTGTGTAAACATCACACCCTTAGCATGTAATGGTACCTCATTGATTACATCCAGTGTATTGTCTTTTTTTTTTTGAATAAAATTGGGGAAGGGGGGGGTTCAGGAAAATACTACAGAGTAGCATTGCTCCGCTGGTGGTTTGAGAGGCCTGTGTCTTTGACTCAGAGTAGATTGAGATCATTCATCTTACTGAATGTCAGACTGAGATTGGGGGAGACCCAAGGAAGATTGGAGCAGCTATTCGTAGCAAGACCCCCCCCCGATATTGATCATATTGGGGGGGGGAATAGACGTTGATGTAATTGGCGCTTTGCGATATGCTAAATCTCCCCTAATCTAAGGCAGACGGCTCATTAGCCAGTCTGAGGGTTTCCTTGGGGGGAAACACAGAAAGGTCTGGAAGTTGGAATTAAATCTGGCCAGCGGGCCAAAAGGGGGCATAATTTTCAGGAAATTGAAAGTTTGTCCACATCTAATAAAACCTAATTGACTTATAATTTTCCCCTGTCGGGATCAATTTCGTCAAGATGGGGAATATTTTTTTAGTAGGAATTGCACCTGACATGTCAGCAGCTCATCGCTGAAAGATGAGTGTATGAATATTTCAAATTTATTGAAAGGTTTTAGTCCGATGTCTCTTGAGTATGCAGAGGCTGAGTTTAGACGCAGAAGTTGTCCAGCATTAGCGTCGTGCTATTATCTACCATTTTTCAAACTGACAGGCTGTCAGGTACAATCTGTCATTTTTCTTGGCTCACCGAAACATATGTGAACTATCGGAAAAGACTAGTTGTCAGCAGGATATTTGTTCATATGTTGCACTGAGTGATGATATGGCAAGTGGTTTGAGTACATGTATGTCAGAATTGCGACTGTGAAATATCAGTATCCCAGAAAATAGTCACACAATGTACCATTGCAGTAAAGTCAAACTGTGTCTTGTACTGTTGTAAAAAAATCCATTGTCCATGTGTTGGATTGAACTTGCAACCTCTCAAATTACCGTATAACAGCAGATTTCTCAAGCAACCGCACTCTGAATCTTGCCCAGAGGCTTGTTCATACTCGACGGGAAAGCGAACTCGTGTTGGTGCTGCAAATTTGCCAAACTTGAACACATTTTAAGTGATGCGAACTTTACTGTAAATGTTTAGACTCATCAAATATACTTGGCTTTTGCATTTGCATGGACTATGAATCGTCCTTTACTTGGATGTGAGCAAGACCTTAGTCTCTGAATGTGGGTATAGTTAAACGTTATTCAAAAGGTGTTGACGTGATGATAATATGTGAAAGCAGTCATTTTCCATTAATGGTAAGTTCACTTAGGTTTGGCTGCTATTGACAGCTCAGGTGTCGAAAACTCCACGAACCACTTCCCAGCGGACAGTTATCGGCTTTGCTTCTTTTTTTTGCAAGCTCAGGGCGAACAATATGGCAGGCAAGGAGATCTGCCGTCTAATCTGCACTGACGCAAGGGCCAGTCTGCCACCAGTCATCCTGACAAACCAGGAGGCAGTCGTGCTGGGGCGATGTCCAATCACGGGAATTATGGACAAGAAGCTGTCACGGCAGCAAGGTGAGGAAAGCGCTGTGATTGGAGGACACACAGTGGAGATACACATACTTGTGCTAATGTACAGTAGCTTGACCACAGAACCATGAAGGAAATGAATCTGGACACACTGTATTCCAAACGTTGAACTAGATACATTGTACATGTACGTTTAATGAATATTACACTGTTGGTAGAATGGAATGCTTGAGCAGATTTTTTTAGAGGTATGTTTTTGTGTTTGAATCATCTTCATAAGAATGATGAGGGCATGTGACTTGGAGCACTGTACGCACATACATGTACATTACCATGTACCAGTATGTGTAAATATTTTCCCTTCCTTTTGCACATTTGCCAACATAAAGTTCTCCAGTATGATACCCCACGCCCGCAGTTTGAATTGTAATTTCTCGTGCAGTCTTGGGTGCAACAGATGTACATGTACATACAGTGTAATGAGCAGGGGAAAGAAAACCGGGCTGAAGAATTGAAAACTTGTGGCTCGAGAGCAACCGCTGCCTGAAGAACGGACCTGATTCAGCGCCGCCTGGATCGCTGACTGATGGTATCAGAGTAATGACCGGTCTCCAATCGTTAGTAATGGGCTAATTTGTAAAACAAACATGACACGGCAGATTTCTGGTGGTCGGGTGATGCTGGGTCCCCTCGGCATTGGAAATTGACGGACTACTTCCTTGGAGGTTTCGGCAACCCCAGCCACGGGTGAATTTGCACGGTCTGCAATGCCGTGCTGTATTTTTAGAAGACTGTCAGAATTTCTTGGGATGACTGTTGTGGTCCCCTGTATGGTTTTAATTTGAAGGGAGCTTTAAACTGCGCCAAAAAACAATTGAAACTTTGACCTCTCCTCTTGTTGAAGCCGCAGTCTGTTAATTAGGCAGGCAAGTCGTGTTGCAGTAGAATGGGTCATTTGGTAATATGATGTGTCCCTTTTTCTCTTTTAGTTGAGGTAAAGGCAAACATTGAAGGAAGAGTTTTGCATCTGAAACAGGTGAGAATGAGTTTGGAATCTGCACTGAAAAACGGAGAGAGAATTTTTTAATTGCTCATATTTTTTTAAAATTGCTTGTCCTCCCCAAACTGAAGAGAAAAAACCCAGAGCAAGTCTTGAAGGTGTTTTGCCATCTCACAGTTTGAATTTAGGCCCGATAAATATGGTGGTTGGCAAAGAGTGAAGCACTGGCTAGAAATCATAGCTTGAACACATTTAAAAAATGGCCTGAACGCATTTGAGAATGGCTTGAAAATATTTTGAAATGAACCTAAGTTTCTGAGAATGGAATGGCATTTGGGTGGGTTCATTTTTTGGGTGCATGTGAGAACAGCCTGAATGCATTTGGGAATAGCCTGAACATGTTTTGGAATGGTGTGAGTGCACGTGATTATAAGGCCTAAACGCATTTGAAAGCTACCTGATTCAGATGGAAAGAGGCAAGATTTGAAGAGGTCAAGTGTATCATCCAGATATCAAGATAGGTGTGACTTTTGGAGATGCAAGTGGCTCGTTAGTTGTGTAACAAGTAAAAAACAATTGAAAGTTCTGTCAATTTCATGAAATCACCCAGCCTTTGCTCAGAGTGTGCCGTTGTGCTCACAGTTAAAGTTTCATTTCTGTCAACAGCTTGGTTCACATCCATCCCTAATTGCTGGTACAGCCTTGATGAAGGACCAAGAAACGACCATTCTAGACGGTGACAGATTCCAACTTCTCAACGACAAGTATGAATACCAAGTTGTGTTCCTGGCCCAGCCGGCCCCAGAAAGTATTAAGGCCAAGCCTACAGGAAGCGACAGCAAGCGAGCCAAAGGGGACATCACAGACTTCTTCCAAAAGAAGACATCCAAACGAAGGATTTCCGAAGATGAACCCTACCCAGAAACCAGCAGTCAGAAGAAACCAAAGATGGATGGTCCTTCTAAAGCAACCTCAAAGAGAAACTACCGAGGGACAGTCAGCGACAGTGAAGACTCTGATGATGATTCATCCAAGAGCACAACCGAAAACTTGAACATCACCAGTGACACACCCTCTGAAAGAAGTGGCCGCAAAGGAAAAAATTACCACAGAGTTGTAAGTGATAGTGATGACAGTGACGCCGTCAACCAAGCCCCTTCGACAAACACATCTCAAAAGAAAAACTATCATGTAAGAGTTGTTGGGAGTGACAGACAAGATAGTTGCAAGGACGGCGTCTCCTATGCAAACAGAACAGCTTTGAATAACAGGAGTGACTATAAAAAGCTTATATCAGGGGATGACAGTGATAGGCACTACAGAGACAAAGGTAACGCTGTAAGAAGGAAGGTGACATCTCAGAAGAACTATGGCGGAGCAATTAGCAACAGTAGTGATGATGATGATGATGTCCAGGACCCCGAGTCGATGTCCATAAAGGCCAAACTGACATCCCTTCAGCAGAATGCCAAACGGTATCTGGAGAAGCGGTCGGCAAATTGCCCAGACACAAGCAAGCCCGACAGTCAGCTTCCTGCCACGGTCGAAACGGATGCGCCCCCCGCTGCATCGGCTGGAGCAGGGAGCCAATTAGGCAGGCCTGCCACTGATTCTGCCTGGGAGGACCGGGGGAAATTGGTGGTGTACACAAGCCGAGGAGTGCAGGCCAGCGACAAGGTCTGGTTCTTGCCAGCTTATAACACTGGGCAGCCGTCACCCCCCACCCTTCCGTATGTCATATCTGTATGATGCGCACGGCTTCCTGGCACACTTCCTTAATTGTATGCAGATTCCTAACCCCAAGTGCTTTGTCCTTTGTTAACATTCATTTGAGCGTTGTTGATCACGAATGGTTTCGAACACATGATGTACATGTAGACTACTGATTTATTCCTGTTGAGCTCGGACGTTTGTACATGAAACTCCTCCTCTTTTCAACTTTGAATCTACTCATTGCCTTCAACTGTTTTTATATTGAAAAGGGTATGATTAGTACATTCATCATTCAATGTACATGTGTATGAAAGGGTTGCTGTTTCACATCAGATTAACAGATAAACATAGCACTAAGCCGTTGCACGAATGCCTGTCTGTTTTAAGGGAATAAAGGTGGGTGGGGACAGTGTTAAAAGTGAAACTAGTATGTTTTGAACCGGCTAGGTCCCTGGTCAAATGCTGGTAACAATAATGGACTGGACAATTATGGTCCATTAAATAGAAGTAATTTCATAGTAAACTGGGAGAGTTTTTCTAATCAGTTGGTACTTTTATCATCAGTTAAAAACCAGCCATGCAACGGGCTGTTGACTCACACAAATTAGCAAACTTTTCGAGGTACATGTACCTACATGTATGAAAGTAATATAAAATCTGCCCTTTTTTAAGCGGTCAAAAGGAAATGAGTTTCGTGCATAAATGGAGCATATACCTGTAATGTACCACAAAACATAGGGAATTCCGACGTTTGGAAATTGTTCATACTTCGGAACAAGAACCTGTCTTTTGTTGAAAAAGAAAGGTTTTGTTCCAACATGGAAATCACTAAATGTTGGTTTCGCATGTGTGTATTTGAAATATGAATCAGCACCTTCAGTGCTGCTGGCAAATTACATGTAACAATAACAGTATCATTAATCATTATTTTTGCGGATCCTGATGGGGGAAATAAAAGATTTACAATGATCATTCTTTAGGAGATCCATGGCAAAATTAAGGCAGTGCAACTCTCTCCTAGAGTACAAGGGGTCGAGATTTAACCGTTGAAGGGCAAAATCGTACGAGAGATAGTTTTTGCCTAATATTATCCTGCAAGATCTTTTCTGAATATTTTCAATACTAGTACATGTACATTGATTAGCAGTTAGTCCTAAATGCCATATGACATTGGCATACTCCAGTATCTGTCTTAAGTAACCACTATAACTTGTAACTCCTCATTACTAAATCTAAACCGCTTCAGTGATCTTAGCATAAACAGTTTTCTACTGGATATCAGTAAAAGATTTTCAACGTGGGTATTCCACTTAAGATCATTCTGAACCCATAAGCCAAGGATTTTGGCTTCAGAGACATATTGTCATGTTTCACCAATTTCTAAACTTTACATGTGAGAATTCTTTTTAAAACACACACAAAGGGCATGAAATTTGGTAGGATTCAATTTCAGCTTATTTCCAATTGCCCATTCATGAAATAAATCCAGATTCAGTTAAAGATAGCTAGATTGTCTAGAATGTGAGTTTTCCGCAAACATGAAGTCATCCACATATTTCCATTAAGTAGAGGAGGAACCATGTGCTGCATCGTTGATGAGAATTGGGAAACCGATTTGGCCAAACTTAGTACTTTGGGGAATTCCACGTTTAAGTGACCGATAATCAGAAAGGATATTACATGTATTATAATGAACTCTCTGGTGCCTACCCCGAAGGAAATGGCACAGCCAGGGAGCAATGGATGTACAAACACCCATATCAATGATTTCGGATGAGGGTGTTCTGATCAAATGCTTTAGAAAAATCAGTTAAGACCACCATTCCCTGGTTGCCATTCACTTCTGCACCCTGAAATAAAAAATGCATTAAGTTAACCAGTTTTATTAATGACGTAATCTAAGATCCATTTGGATACAAACTGTTCAGCAACTTTGGCAAAGACTGAAGTAAGGGACATCGGGTGAAGTTTATCAATACTGGGCAGGTGTTGTTTAGGAACTGGGACCCCAATAGCTTCCCTCCTTTGCACAGGAACAATGCCCTCACAAAGAGAGCTATTCAAGATATCAGTGAAAGGAACATTATATTCATAACCAAATTCTTTAACCAGCTGTGGGGGGGGGAATGGTCAGGCCCACAAGATTTACCAGCTTTCAGTTTTCTGAGCACAGCACAAACATTCTGTGGGAACAAACAAGGGGGCTTTTCTGCTGGCAAAAAGGCTGGAAGTTCGGGTACATGTATGTTCCAAGAATCTAACCAGGCCAAGACACAAACTTGTCATTGATTGCATTAGCTTTTCCAAAAGATTGCCACTATCAATTCTTGGAATGTCAATGTTGAGCCCCAGTTTTCTTGAATTAAAAACCTTTTTAACAAATTCATGCCACTGACGAGGGTTAGAATGCTGCAAATTTCTAATACGATTTGCATGGTAAGATGACGTGGCAGCTATAATCCCCTTTTAACCAAATTTCTCAACTTACGCCAAAGAGATGGGTTCGTCAAAAAAGAATGCTGGCGTTTACGAATAAGCTGTTCAATACAACATGTCATCCAAGGGTTGTCAGTGACATGCAATTTGGTTTGTTTAGCGGGGAAAAACAAATTAAATGATGGAGCGAGCAAATTATGAAATGTAATTGAATTGATAGTTTTCCTCTATGTACACGAACTATTTAAGTAACATTGCAGGATTGAACTCAAGTAAGCACAGTGCCATGCTTATGCACAAATCTCCTGTGCGAAAAACATAAAGTAAAAATATTTCCAGTTTAGTTAGCATGAAAAGTTGTCTGGAAATGTTAACATTCTACACCTTTTCTGTACACTATATCTCTATATCTAGATTGCGGGATTTGACTTAGATGGAACCATCATTACTACAAAATCTGGAAAAGTGTTTGCGAAGGGTGCAGACGATTGGAGGTAAAATGTCCCTTCTAGACGCGCAGTTAACATACCCTATGAAATGAGGGCCCTTCAAACTTGTCCCTCTCACGGTCATTTTCTCCTATTTCGTTTTGCCTTCAAATTAGAAAATATAATTAAAGGTGATACGTAGAATGTATGTGCCCCAAAAAATGCACTTTGAGAGTGATTTAAGAAAGTCAAATTGTGAAAGTTTTCACAGAGATTGATAAGTGGGTAAAAAAAATTGTTTCATATCGTACAATGACCATTGAGTGCACATAAAGGCTTTTACTTGAACAAGATGTTCAATTAAAATCATTTCAAGTATCTGATTCATGAAATAATGACTTGTCCTGTATTTCTTGTGCAGAATTTTATATCCTGAAGTGCCACGGAAATTGAAGACTTTACATTCTGAAGGCTACAAGGTAAGAAAATCTGCTCAGTGTACTTACGGGCCTTCTTCCTCTTGAAGTTTTGAGTTGTTTGAAGTCCAGAGTTTACTTTAAACCATAGAAGAATTTTGTTTCTTGGAAGTAATTACCTTTTCATAAGTTGACACTGATCAACAGTGCTTGTAGTTTTAAAAGCAAAAATGCATATTAAATTTTAAAGAAAAATTTTTACAATCTACTGAAATTGGTGAAAAAGAAAATTAAAAAGACTGGAAAATTGAAAACTGGTGTTCCATATAATAACAGAAGTATTCCCTTGCCATATTTCTCCTGTTCAGGTTGTGCTATTTACCAACCAGGTAAGCATTCGTTTTGTTACTTTCTGTTTTACTCCATTATTGTTGTAAGATACTAATTCTATTGTATCTGGCTTGACCAACTCTCTGATAGTCTTCAAAACCTCTAGAATGGAGTTTAAAGGAAAGGAGGATATTGTTTGTTTTGGTGAATTCTGACTTGTTTCTTGTTATTATGATTAATTGATATTATTTCAGACTTTTGGGGAGTATTTACAGTCTTAACAGAAAAAACTTTCTTAACATGAAAATTTTTTTTTTCTGTTTTGTGCGGTCATCACTATTAAATCAAATTATTAGACTATTCTGCTCTTAAGTATGAACATCATTGAATGTGTGGGCCAGATATTTTAACATTTCTAAAGAAAAGTCATGTATGCACACATACATTATACACGCATTACGTTAAGTTAACCCTAACAGCCCTGAATCCTCCAATTTTACGATGATTTTGCACACACCCTAGTGAGTTAGGGTAAATGTGTACATGTTTTAATGTCCAATTCCTGCCACTTCATTATCTAATGTGTGTTCTTTTCTAATAAAAAGCAGTCGTTTTATACAGAAGCAGACAGGCAGGTTTCAAAATGAAATTCTTGGCATATCTGCAGAAAGCATGATTAAGTATTTAATATTTCAATGACGAGTAACCGTCAAGGTCATCTTAAGTTGAATCCTTCAAGGTGCAGTCTCCTTACATCCATCTTAAATGTGACATCATGTACATTTAAAAACAAAGAAGACAGTTCTGCATGATTTCTACTTTTACAGCTTGGCATTGGGAAGGGGAAACTGAAAATGGAAGACTTCAAAAGAAAAGTTCTTGGAGTCCAGAGCAAAATAGGAGTTCCAATACAGGTATATGAACTCATCAGAATTCACTTTAGCCAGTAATATTGGGTATTACCATACCTCATGCATACATGTGATCAAGAGCGGAACTCTCATTGGTCCATTCACCATCATGAGCAGCCAATCACCGTTTCTGTTGCATAACACGCACACTCATGAGGACCTGTGCCCAAGTCAAATACGCTAGCGTACTGAATAGTTCATTGGGACTGTCGCCTAGTTGAAGTATACACGAGTGAGCATTGCCCAAGCTGAGTGTGCTTTATGTAAACTACACGTAAGCGGAAAGCGGCACACATACATTTCGCCGTTCCCTCACTCCTGAAATTCTTCAGTAGCAACTAAATATGTATGAGGTATGGTAAAACAAATACATTTTGGTTTATTTTGGGTGGCTTGCCTCTTGAACGACAGTAGTCTGTGAACTCCATACATTGGGGAGCTAAAATTGACTTCTGGCGTCGACTCTCAAACCGTGTTATATTTGTGTACTACTTAGTGTGCCCATAGCAATATCATTTTTGTAATTAACTTTAATTGTCAGCTTCCGTGCAGTTGTACATGTAACTGTGAGAAGTAATCTCAAGCATACGGGGTTCATGGACTGTTAAGTAGAGAGTGAGCAAGGGCGCCCTCTTGTGTCCACATGATGTCATCCTTACCCTCACAACTTTCATGTGAACCATGCACAATACATAACAGGCGGGGATATTTCTGTACACTGGATAAGGGTACAGGACCATGCGTTGGATTGGCAGGGTAACTCTTATGCTTTGTATTACAAACGTGTCATCACCATCACTCAAATGGAAAAATGTGGAGTTGTTAAACGTGATCATAAGAAATAATTCTTTACCTGTTCATTTCATGAAGCAATCGGGGGGAGTGTTCAACATGATTTTAAATAGGCATGTCCTATGAGTTGCTCACAAGATGTGAAAAAAGTTTATTCTGTTTGAGCTCATTAGGTTGATACGTTTTGCAAAAGTGATTCCATTGTGCAAAATCAACAAAGTCAAAGGAAAACAAAACGCAGCACCATCAACAAAGGAAAAAGTTAAACACATCCTGAGGGTGTCTATATAGAGTTGTGTGAATATATCACATGCATAGTTATGTATGTAATATATTCACACCACCGTAAATGAAAGAAGAACATTCCAAAATCCTGTATTATTTTGCAGAAATGGTTACAAATTTGTGAAATTTGGCATTTGCCTTGTCTTGATTCTCTCGTTTCCAGGCTTTGATAGCCACTGGAGAAGGAATGTATCGCAAGCCAGTTACTGGCATGTGGAGGTATCTGTGCAACCATGCCAACGATGATATCAACGTGTGCACAAGTTCTTCTCAATACATCGGAGGTAATTTCAGTGCTGTGTGCGCAGTTGAATCTTTGTACGTCATACGTCGTGTGGCCTTATTCAGCGTGAAAGTATGAAGTTATTGATCATAAACTTGGATTAATTTACTTTTTTCTACAGATGCTGCAGGCCGCCCGGTGGACTGGGCACCTGGGAAGAAGAAAGATTTCTCCTGCAGTGACAGACTGGTGAGTTTGTCTCTAGCTTGACCAAGCTTGCGGATGAGGTGTGTGCTCGTTTCCATGCTTGAGTGACTCTGGTCAAGTTTGTACACACACACACAGGCTGAAACTTTTCTGTGGATTGGGCTAGCATTGTCCTTGCATGGGTGCTGCCGCGAACCTCGTGACCTAACTTGCCACCTTCAGCATGAAAAGCTTCCATAGCTCATCTTCTCTGTGGATGTTGAGTCCGTGCAGAGCCCTCAAGTCTAACTTTGTTAATGGGTCATTCCATTTGGTTGGGTGCACAATTTGTGACGGTGTCAATTGTTACATGGGTTCCGTATAAATGAACAGCTAATCCCTGCATGTGGTTTCCAAATTGACATTGTTTTACATCTTGCAAGGCTGAATACAGAGGTGTGTGTTATTTTTACAGAGTAAATGACCTACTCTAAAGATCATGACAGGCGGTAAAAGCTACCCATGTAACAAGGACACCATCACAAATTGTGCCCCAACCTTATGGAATGACCCAAATGACAATAGTGGTGGTAGTATCTTGCATTTTAAAAAGTCATCGTCTTTCAGCTGAAAATATTATTCTGCATGGGGCAAGTTGGTTGTGGAATTATACTGACCAAAAACTCCTGATCTTGTGGTCACCCCTTGGACTAAAACTTTGTGACTTGGGCCGTAATGGATTCATCTCAAACGAAAGTGTTTACTTTATTCATTCTTGACATTACTGAAAATTGTTATCTGTTCCACAGTTCGCACTGAATGTTGGCGTGCCATTTTACACCCCTGAAGAGTTTTTCTTGGGCCAGAGGAAGAATGCTTTCAATCTGCCAGTGTTTGACCCAGTGAGTGAACACATGCAGTCGACTCCTTATAGACGTAACCATGCTCTTCGGTTATAGACATATAAAAGTGTTCATTGAATAATGAGAAGCACTGGCATTGACCAGGGGGGCTAAGGAGTTTCTGCCGTGCCAGAGGCTTGCACCCATCAAGTTGAAAATTTGCCATTAACCATGTTTGTATTTGCTGTTTTTTGGTGAAGCCTTTGGAGACCACGGTCAAGTTCTTCACCATAGGCTGTAGGCCATCCATTACCAGCAACATCAGTTGAATGTTTAAGAGTGATTTTTGTCGATCCAATATTTCAGTTGAATTATATACCTGGGACTTTCAAACTGAATGTGTCTGAGAAAAGCAGTGCCTAATGTAGCCACCCGTATACCCTGTCCTGAGCACAGGCAAAAATATATATGGACAGGCAGCTTTTGCCTGTCCAAAATTAACAGGCCACCAGTTTTTACATTAATCCTTAATGCCAGTGAACAAGTCTTCATCTTTTGTTCCAAAAAACTGGTTGGAGTGGAAATGTGGCCCAGGATAGTACCATGAGGTGTCAGTTTCAGAAATTTCCCTTGGAGAGGAAAGGCAGTTTTCAACATTGGCTTGGATATTTCAATCCCAGATGAAGCCCTGTAAGGGAGTGTGATTGCCTATAGGCCCTGAGCAGGACCAAGAGAGGGTGCAATTGTCTAAGCAGTGGAGGCTCCTTTGGTAGGAACTTCACTTCCCTGGTTCATGAATGACTGTGAGATGCATGCGTTGCGTGCGAGTCACTACTAACAAACGAACGCTCCCGACCAGCATGGCTCTTTCCAACGGATGAGTGGGTGCTTCTGCTCTAGGTGGATTACCAGACCAGACTTTAATATGTGGTAAATATTCCACTGATCATTTGACTGCAGCACCTTTTATGTGTTGTTTTTGTGCATATTTGGACCTTCCACACAATTTTTTCTTTCAATTGTTGTCAGAGGAAGTTATCAGCATCCGGTCCCATGCTGGTGCCACATCATGCACAGATCCCAGCACAAGGCCATGCACAGGAGGTGAGGTGACAACTTAAGACTTCTTTCCATCTTGTGGATTGACCCATTTTCAAATCTCAGCTCAAATTTCCAACTTGGACTCAACTCCAAAAAACTTAACTGGAGTCATGATGAAAATACAGAGACCCGTGAAGAGAGCAGAGTTAAGTTTGAGTCACAGTTATGGTGACTAAAATTTGTTCAAGCTGTGGGAAAAAGATGACCCGTACCCAGACCCACCAGTCACTTAGTCTTGGCCCAAGACGTCAGTGATCAATAGCAATAGTCACATTTGTGTGCCCATTTCTTTTCTTTCTTGCAACATGCTTGCACTGTCGTCTTGAGAATCTAGCATTAATGAGGTTGTAGCCATTTTGTGTTAATTGGACCATTGGTATGCATGTAAATATCCATACTATCAAACAAATGGTGGCTTTCTGTGTGATACAAGTAGTTGTGTGAGGGGTATCTAGCATTGTGTATCTTATTAGCATGCTTGGTCACCATACTTCACAGTTGAATGCTGCGCGCAGCACATATGTTTTCAACCATTGCGGACTGACAGTAAACTGTTCTGCATTTGCTGATGTTCTCTATGAAAGCCTAGAGAGGAAATAAAGAAGTTAAGTCTCTCCTACGAGATTTCCAAGATGTTAGTGTCAGCAAGTGCACTGGGTCTAATTATTCAGTAATTAGAGAGCGTGCTGCGTAAGACCAGTTATCAAGCTCTAGTGTCTTTGGGCCGAGATCACTAGTCAACCCACAAATTAACACAGTTAACAATTTTGAAACGCTGAAAAAGATATTATTTTCATGATTCATTGCACTATTTTTAGTGCCTGAAAAAATTGCTGCTCAATGGATTTTTGATCAAGTGTCCCTGAATTATTAGTCCTGATGCATGGTGCAGACAGCCACTAAAACTTCATCCCACCAGTTAACGGAGGCTCTGTTGCTCTGTCACAAGAAAGTTCTTAACGCGTAGGTGATGCAAGGACTTATTAAAGTGGCGATTTATTCAAGCAATGCATGCATTTATTTAGGATTAATTCAGGCATTGTGTTAAACAAACAATGGATGTTTCACATTTGTTATAGTGGAAAGAATAATTTCATGAGATGACAGATGGAATGTTCCGTTCCACTCACAGTATGGAACAGTTTACCAAAGTGATTCCTATTCCATGGAAGGGTGCTCGTGAAAGTTCCAATTTGAATCAAATTTGATTCTCTCTGAATCAAGTTTTCTTTCGCTGCATTATACCCTTATTGCTAATGAAAGCCTATGAAAATTTACTTAATATCTATATGAGTATACCGGTATGAATTTGTTCTTTGGTTTGTTTCTTTCTGTTTCAGGTCATTGTTCTGGTAGGATTCCCTGCTGGTAAGTATTTCATATAAATAAAAGTTTCTTTCTGTATCTTTGTCACCGTTTGCTTCTGTCATGACACATGACGCTTATGCAGGTGTCCATTCAAAAGAATGGGCGCCAGCAGGCTGTGGACTCTGTGAGTATGAGAAGGGATGCTTTGCTGATACCCGATGTCCAGTTAAACCAACAGCAGGCTCCATTTAAATTTCTCGATGTGGTTTCAGCTGGAAATAATCCATGCGTCCATGGGGAATGCATGATGCCCAGATGCATTTGTTATTCCAAGTCCAGCTGATATGAACATGCAAGTGTGACCCATGACAAATGAGCAATATCTTATTCCTCTGTGTGATATTTCTTTAGTGTGGGCATAGCCAAACAGGTCAACTTCAGTGAGCTTAACAGTGGAGATTTCTTGATATCATATTATCTTTAATTCAGATTCCTGTGAAGTCATACTGTATTTTGCATCTCGTTCAGATGGCCAGGCCAAACATACTTGTATCCGAAACGCTAGACAGTAGATAAAAGCTGAGTCCCACCCAAAATCGATCAGAGCTCCCTAAATCTAACCCAATGTGACTGTACAAAAATTAAGGTTAAACAGATCTGAACTGACCCAAAACTGAACCAATAGGAAAAAAGAAAAAAAATCAAAGAATATAACTGATCCCGTAATTTGTCCACATTTTGTGCCTAAACTTATTTAGCTGAACTTCACCAACCTGACCTAAAATTTTCAAATGCAAAACCAAAATTGACTCGACTAAAGTGGTGGGAAAACCAACCCGATCCAGCCCAAAGATGGTTTTAGGTCAGGTCGATTTTGGTTTGGGGTGGGGTTTGCTCAACATTACTGTGTAGCATGACATGGATGCATTGTGCTCAAGCTATTTTCTTGTGTCTTTTTTTTTTACTTTACCCACAGCTGGGAAGAGCAGCTTTGTCAAGAGGCATCTGCTACCCCATAAATACATTCATATCAATAGGGTGAGTATAGCCTTTGATCAATGCGCCCACGGCGAAATGGATAGTCGCTCAACGCACGAAGAAAGACTATACGGCGAACAGCACGTGCTTGCGCATAGCCGAACTGAGCATGTAGTCTTTGTTCGTACACTTGTTTGGTGCTTAAACTAGTCTCCTGCATCTCCTCGCCCTTGAGCGACTATCCATTTCCACTGGCTACAAACAATGGCTACATGCACTTTTTGGCATGCACAAGGGTTTATCCACTACGAACACAGGGCGAGGGTTCCCCTCGTTTTTTCTGTTTTCTCAGGATGATGCAATCTACATTCAGCACGCTCAGAATTTGCATCTTGGAATGAACTGAAAAAAGCCCTTTTCAGCTTCTTATAGTTGAGCTCAGAAGACAAATGACACTGCGTTCGATTTGGATGCTTTCATATTTATTTGAACAGATAAAATCAGAGAAAACATGTTTTCCTTTAAGTTGCTCTTTAACCTCTCGAGCCAGTGCCACAACTCTGCAGATGTTCCTGTGAATGATCAATAAAAAGCGACCAAACATATGCAAATTAAATTTTAGTCAGGTTGCCTGTTGAAAATGGTGCTCCAATTTTTATAAAATGATGTCAAAAAGGACAAGACTCACTGAGGTAAATATTAGCAGATGGCATTACATGCCAAATACTTTGAGTTGGGAAAACCCAAGCAAAAGCCGCAAACTTTTGATATAAAGCCAAATGTCACAAATACCAGCTCCGGGTCATTGGAGCAATATTTGTGCAGTATTTCTTTCCAGAACCTCACATTTTTCAACAATCTGGGGTATTGCCACAGAGCAATGTATACAGCAGGCTGTGCGCAGCGGCAAAGTTCAAGGTACGGTTTATCTCCACAGACTTTTTTCTGACTGTGCACAAAGTAAATGGGGATTAGGAGGTATAAATGTTACTCTTAGGCGTGTCTAGGTGCACATGGCAATTTAACCTGTCAATTGTGGCTATTTGTAAAGACCATGTCACCTTTGCACATCGGTTAAAATTGAACAAATTTTCAAAGGCTCAACATAGAAAAAAGTGACAATGGTATCAGTTTACGGGTAAATATTTAGTCGTCACCCATAGTAGTTGCCATTGATATGAACTCTTCTGTGGCTACTTTTGTTGCCAGGGCTTACCCCCATATTTCCGATGCACTGAAAGCCTAGAGCTTGCGGATACAGCCTTAAAGAGAGGGTATTTGTAGCCAAACAGAGTCCAATTCGGTGAGCTGTTGGTAGGAGTATGAGCCCCAAGCTGGACCGAGAGAGGGCGCAATTTTTCTAGCAAGAGAGGCTCCTTTGGTGGGAACTGCACTTTGCTGGTTCATAAATGATTATAAAATGTCACGCATTAAAGTTGCGTGGCATCCAACAAAATGAACATTCCCTACCAACATGGCTCTTTTCAACCGACGAGGGGGTGCTTCTGCTCAAGGCAGATAGTATGCACCTGTGGCAAGTAGCTGCAACTGATACTGGTAGCTATGTTTGGTAGACATAATATGTTATTTCTAGCTGCATTTAAACCACTCTGAGACGTGCCTTAAGTTCTGCCTGTCCACCTTTGCTGCTCACCTGTGCTTCTCTGCACACTGTTTAGAATATCATTTTTGATATCCCTGTTGCATGTTTGACAAGAGAAGTGTGATGCATTGGTAACAGTGTTTTGACTTTTCATTACTCACAAAGTGATATTGTACAAAACAGTTGTACTGTATCTCCATTTAATTCAGGCATTCTCTTTTGCTTCCAGGACACCATGGGAACGTGGCAGAAATGCGTGGCGGCCACAGAGTCTGCCCTGGTCAAAGGTCAGAGTGTTGTCGTGGATAACACTAACCCCGACCCGGAGTCCAGGCAGAGGTGGGTACATGCACAGCTTCCCTCCATGGTTTGCATCATGGAATGGAACACTCCATCCATGCCGTAAAGGCATTTTTTTCCATTTGCATAAATGTCAGATATTTGCAGCTGAATAAATCCCCCAAATCAATCAATCACCTGACTAAATCATGGAAAAATATTACCTCCTCATTTCCCTGTATCAGCTTCAAGTTTGAAATGTGTTGGGACCGTAGATTGAGCATTGATTGATCCATTTACCTGTGGATTGGATGGAACCTGAAGTGTTTATTGTGCACTGTATAATTCATGACACGTTATCAACGATCCACCTATTATCATCTTCCTTATGTACTGAATTACACATCACAGTGCTATTTCAAAAACCATTTGTCACCTTGTTGAGTTGGTATAAAAACAAATGAACTGAATTGCAGGAGACATGAAATACTTTCCTGCTTCCACCCCAGTTGCTGCAACAGTTGTTCTGCATAATGTTTACTTATCCATACAGTACATGTAAGTGTTGGGATTTTTTTTGTTACAGAGTTTTAGAATCAAAAATAAAAAAAATTTAATCCAAAGTCTTCTGAGTTAACTGTCTTTGAAGACTCAAGCCCTCTAGGACATATTTTTACCCTTGGGACACATTTTGCCTCTAGGACACATTTTTTCCACTGGGACACATTTTGCCACTCGGACACATTTGGCCACTGGGACACATTTTTGCCACAGGGACACATTTTGCCACTAGGACACTGGACTTCCGGTGTACTTAAAGTAGAGAGTTCAATTCACTTTATTTCAGTCCCCCATCCAAAACAACTCTTTGGGCTTTCTATAACTTGAGTCCAAGTCATTCCAAATATGGGACTCAAAATGTCCTCCAGTCGTAGTTCTTGTTGGGAGTCTGTCACAAGCCCGGGTCCCCCTACCCTCTGACACGCAATGTGTGCACGGTAAATTATGCAGTACACTCAAGCAGATAATTTAACTTCAAAATTCAATGAAAACTAATTTATTTACAAATATAGAAACCACAAAAACAATTGAATGAAGGGGGAGCAAAATGCAGAAGATCAACAGTTTAAAAAAAAAATGGGTTTCATAGAAACTAGAAGGCTGGTGGGCTGGTTAATAGTTACCACTAGCCCAAATTCGGACAGTTCAAAGGGAGATTTGGTCAATTGTCCGATGCGCCGCTGTTACATGACTCTCAGCCGATCCTCAGCGAGGATGATGCAGGTGAGTCAGGGCTGGACTTAGCAGACCAACAGGCAGGTAAGTAGCCGTGTCCCCCTCTGGCAGACTTGCTGTTCCTATCCAGCCAATGCAGGACCTGGCTTGATCGTGTCTCGGTACTCAATGAGGTCCACTTACGGGAGCTCCGACTCCGTAATAAAGAGCCAGTATATACTGGCTCCTGAGGTCTTACAGCACACTGAAAATTTGTCACAGCCTGCCTTTCCTCTTTAAACTTTTCTCCTGAAAATTTGGGGCAGCAAATCACTCTCCCAACTTATGGCTACCGCCAACACTGGATTTCCAATCCACATTAACAAGGTTAAAAATCTTAATACAATTCTGGCTTCAGGGCTATCGCTCAAACTTGTGCTATCGCACCACAGGCCTGTCAGTGTGTGTCACACAGAACCACACCCCAGTATTTAAGGCTATCACTGCTGGACAAGGCCTCAGTGAGCAGGCACTATAAAACACTATTCAAGTCCCCATGCCTGGTGTGTACCCATGCAGGTGTGAACCATACAGGACCGCACCTTACTTTGCATAAAAGGGCACATAAGGAAATTTGGCCAACTTGGCAACATACAGTTTGTGTCTTTAAATTAATCAAACACTTGGCGTAAAATATCACTGACTTGTGACAGAGTCATACTAGTCTGTGTCGATGACACTTGGCTGACTCTTAATGCGTAACAGGTATTGTTCCTCCTTGAAGCAGCACTTTCAGTGTTTTGCCTTGTTGATGTTTCAGGTACACAGCATGTGCTAAGAAAGCCAAGGTCCACTGCCGATGTTTTGTCCTCAATGTCAGCTTAGATCATGCCAGACACAATGAAAAGGTTAGGCTTTGAAGCCCAGTTGGTTTATATAGTACATATGTATTGCCACCTTCAGGTACCACGGTTAAACCAGCCTTGACAGACCTGATATCCCTTGTGTGTTTTATTTTTTGGAGAGGAAGAGTTTTCCTCTCGAACATTGAACTAATCCCCAAAGTTTACTGTACTGTGCGATAAATCAGCTGGTATTCATTTCGCATTACACCTCCACAGTTTAAGAGATACTTTAATTTAGCTAAAAGCACACAGATGCACTTCTATTTCAATATGAAATACTTTGGAAAATTGTACTTTGTTGATGTTATTGTTTTGGTAGGGTAACAATTATAAACGTATTTGAGCACCTTATTGTGCAAATTGGCCAATGGAGAGACAGACAGGTAATAGTGTGAAACTGCATGCCTTTTAGTCGTTTTCTGACATACAGCAATTCATGACCCTTTGTTTTTGTTCTTTTATTTCTTGCCTTTGTTTTTTCCATGAACAAGTTTCGTCGGATGACGGATTCTGGCAAGAACCACGCCACCATCAGTGACATGGTCTTTCACTCCTACAAGAACAAGTACAAGGAGCCAATGACGGCTGAGGGCTTCGATGCCATTGTCAGAGTAAATTTTCAGCCGTCTTTCTCCAACGTAAAGGAGGAATCGCTCTACAAGATGTTCTTGTTGGAAAAATGAAGGATTTCCGACTCCGAGCAATCATGAAATATAATGTGGATTGAAATGGAAGGAAAACTTAAGACCTGCTTCTGACATGTTTGCAGCAACAGCATCTGTGTTGTGGTGGAGTCTGTCACAAGTCCCTGCAAGTCAATAACAAGTCATCTAGTCCTGAACCAAGACACAAACGATTCAAATGAACTGTGACAAAGACATTCCTTTGTCATTGTTCACTCTGTTACATGTGACTAGTCTTATGAAAGGCCTTTTAATAGACTGAACTACAACATGTGCCGTGTGGCACGGGTGTGTTTAATATGACTTCGCTCTCCATTGCCTCGTGTTGACTATCAGGACATGAATGGCAGGCTGGGATGGAGTGCAGCCAAACATTCACTGAGGGGTCGTCCATTTTTTTATTCGTCTTATTTATAAGCATACGAAATGTATGCTAGGAGAGGGGGGTTCAAAGGCTGTGTACGTGTTTCATCAACTGAAAAGTGCATTTAGCAGTCATTTTCTTGCATATGATTTCTTTAGGGGGAGAGGAGCCATCTGATTCCTCAGATTTTGTCATCCCTTTATTATTTTACTAACGAAGCAGCTTTGCAGTGGAAAGGAGTGGATTGAAGTTGTCTCTTACTGTCCACAGTATATTGACAATGACACTTAATTCTGAGTCACATTTGAGCATTTCTCCTCAAAGAAGAATGTGTTTTAAGGGAAGCATATTTCTGTCCTGTGTTTCGTTTTCACGTAAAGGAGTTCAATGATAATTGGAATTTTAGAGATGCGCCATACGCTGTCGCCGTAGCAATTTTTTGCCGTTTGGGTGGGAAAACTGTGAAGTATGTAATAAATCAGTGGTTACACTGTTGGATGGGGGGCAGGTTTGAAGAGTTTGAAGGTGAGTTGCCTGTGGTTGCAGTGCATCTTTTCAAACTAAGCTTTCAGTAGGTAACCATGTGGTACAGTATATCAACTCCTGTGTGTCTTGGTGTAACTTGTCTGTGAACCCTCATTAACTTCAACAGGCAGAAGCATGGATTGTTCAACTCTGCCAGCACCCCAGCTCTTTTCTGTCATGTTAAAGTAATTTCCCAGCGTATGCTCCATTTCCAGTCGACTCCCACTGTTATGAGCTCAGTAACAAGATGCCAGATATTTTATGGTACCTGTACGTTCCTGTGGTCCTGAGAACTTTGTTAAAAACGAGATTTCATTTATTCATATGAGTATTTTCACCAGCGAATTGTACATTGGTATTTTTACAGTTTCTACAAGCGCAGTAAATTTACTGACACCATTACCTTCCAAAATGACAAGTCAGGGAGCTTCCTTCAGCATACATGCGTCAGTCCATTGTGAAACTGGATTTGCTCTTGGACATCATACAGTTATCGAAAGTTTTGTGGAGCTTCTGTATGGCTTTGTGCGCAGTCTAAATGGGCAAGTGTATCTCTTTAACCAGAAATAGAGATGATGAAGGCTGTTGATTCCAAGTGAAGGAAGACCGGCATAGGATGTGAATGTGGTATTGTTTCAAGCACCCAGCAAACCTCCAAAAGTCAGACGGACTCACAGACTGGTTCAAGTCTTTAATAATTGCAGCGATCGTTCAAAAAGCAGCTCTGTGTTGGTGCGTATGAAGACATGAAAGAAGGTTTACCTAATTGGTTCTGTAACATATTTGCCAGAATCCTCCTGTTAAAGGCCCACTCCGTGAGTAAATAAAGCAGCAAAGATTAGCCTAAGTATGCTAAGATTGAATGCCAGTTGCTTAAAAGAGGTGATTGTTTTTAAAGTGGGCACTAGGGGTGCACACATTTTTCAAGGGCCACTGATGATATCCACGTACATGTATAAAAGCCAGTTAAAAATGTCTAGCTTGTTGGAAGTATGGATTTTGTGGAATTCAGAGTTTCAAATGGAAGGACCGGGGTGCACAGACCTCCGCGGCCCTCAAACCCTGTGATGCAACAGGTACGAACATTATATACCATGGCCCTGAACAAATTCAAACAAAAATGCATGTATTCTCTCACCAGTTTTGATATTGTGCATGTTTCCTATATAACATTAAACGGGGAGTTCTCTGAGGAGAATGTCTCCAAACAGGGTAGTCCCATTCCTCGTTTTTGATCCTGCAGAAGACTAAGCTCGAGGGGCAGCAATGTCCCCATTCTAAATTCCATATGGAGGGAGGAATTTTCCTAAAATTTTGTAGGAACGATGGTTGGCCGCCCGCCAATCTGTACCATGATGCCAGCTTTATTGCCTGTTTGTCTTTTATTGTCTTGCCTTATTGAGTTTTTATGCTCATATTAATTTCCATATCAGTGAGCAAAATTCTGATGTTGCACCTGGCAAAGTGATATTGATTTTCTTGGTCAAAAACACGCTGGGATTGTTAATATTTTGCTTTCCTAAATATCCTTTTGAGTCATCTTTGGTGGTTCATTGTGTTGGTACAAGATCGCTGAAGGGACTTGAACATAATCAGCTTGCCAATAGGCATGTCGATTCCAAGCGATTCATGCTGCTCTTCCCGCAGATGGCATAACGGTTAAGGACACTGACTATGAAATTCTCCCCGAACAAAGGTTTTCCTTGATATCTTCCATGCAGCTGAGAGCATTTGATCTGCAAGTAGGTGGATTAGAGTTCTGTCTTGAGTCTACGTTTCACTTGATATAGTACCTTCTCAAACATTGTACCCAGAGAGGCATTTTGTCCTTACAGCCATAGTATCCCTGCAAGCAAACCTTTCCATTCCCTCAAGGTTAGTGTGAAGCCTTTAACTATGTCTGCGATCCTTCTTAAGAGCCGAAAGTTTCCATGGACTGCCGGAAGAAAAAAACATTGGAGACCGAATGCCTATATCAAAGGATGACGACAGATGAACGAAATGTGTGTAATGAATCACCTTCGGGGCTCTTACTGCGCTGACCAAAATGAAGACTTCCCAACGACACCGAAGCTCTTCTTAGCAAAAGTGAGTCTTTCATCAGTGTTTTGGCAAGTGGTCTTAAACTAGGCTGAAAGGGACTAAAACTGCCATTGCAATAAATTGACCAAATTTGAAAAAAACTTCACATGAGTCAAGAAGAAAAACAAGCACGGAACCTGACGTCTTGGTCCTCAGTGGACGCCTTAACATGCTTAAGGAAAATATCTCTCCAGCTGAGAACATATGATCTGCATGTAAGTGGATTAGAGTTCTGTTGTGAGTGAACGTGAGAAAATCTTGTCCCTTGGGTAGAATTGTTATTTGGCCAACGCGTTGCAAACTCTTGGTGGCGCACTATTGTGAAACGGCTGTATTGTGCGTCCTAGTCCAGAGCTTGTTCTTCTTGTAAGACAGGATGACTTCTTTCTCGTTGTAACCGTGGGAAACTGAAGGCGTGTACAGAAAATGGAGCTGGGAACATTGCTTGTACGGTCACTAAGTCTATGATAAGACTGGACTGAGGTTGTGTGCGCTTATAAAACTTTTTGAAGTGACTGATGATTTGTTTACCTTGTCCTGTTTTAGAGAGTCCAGTTCTTTGAATTTATGTCATCCAAAGTACAAGGCTTGCTGTGTCGACGTCAGTTTGGGTTTTTCCCCTTGCTTAGAGTCAATCCCAAGTCCTGAAGCAAGTTGATATCGAGATTTGTAATATCCAACAATACCAGCCTGAATTTCCCCTGATTTGGATGTCCTTAAGATAAAAGATTCAGCAAATTCCCTATTTCCCCGTAGTGACGATGCAGCTGGTGTGAAGATTTTGGTAAATGTTCTCGAAACTTTTGCGGAATTAACAGATGTTTGACTGCTGTCATGTTTTCTTCATGTATTTTGAAGTGTTGATGTGGAATGAGCCTATTTAACAGTGGGAGGTTGATGACAGGACTTTTCTCAGGTACCACAAATAATGGAAATAACGGTTATTGCTCCTTTCTCCACAATCATCTGCACCTGAAGGATTGAACTGCTTACCCGCTTTTCCCAGCTTGAAGACTTGTAGGAATGTTGGCCAGCAAAGCTCTTGTTTGTCAGCTTGTAGGCGTAAAAAATCTCCGTCTCCTTGACACTCTGTACACTGTTTGTTAAGGTGAAAGGCGTTTATCTTTGGAAGAACATGAACGATCACAACTGGTAACCCGGCGGCTAACTTATTAGCTTTGTTTGTCTCCCCAACTACCGTCATCTGCGAAGAGCCAAAGAGCTCGCCCATGAAAGGTTGATTCCCTTTTTGAATTTCTTGTTAACGACGTCATCAAAGGCCCGTTAACAGGTAGTGACGAGGCCCTGGCTGGCAGAGCCATAAAGAATTAGGCCTGATGGAGTTAAATCCAAAACCGTGCCCTTGTTTATTTCATTAGGACCTTCGGGTTGGCTACTGCCTCAAATAAGCGGAGAAGAGACAAAGCTGATGTCAGAGCACAGCCATGTGTAGGTCTGTGCCTGTCATCTTGAACAGCAATAGATGGATTTATGTGTTTAAAAACTCTCCGGATGCCCGCCGGAAACTCGAGAACAGAAAATATCTCTTTCTCTTTGGGTTCTGCAAGGGCCGGCAACTCTTTCTTGGGATCTTCCGGTGAAAGCTTATGAATTTTCATTTCCCCCACCATTGAATAACATCATCCGAAATCGGATTATCTTTTCATTTGCTTGGGGTTGTGAACTCCCACTGTACGAAATTTGCGGGGTCCCCTCTTCCCTGATTTAAAGGCATTGCTTGATAATGTCGACATTAGGCCTGGAACGGATGGAGCCTGCAATCGGTTTGAGGCATGTCGACCCTCCTCTCGAACTGCCTTGTTTCCTTGTTAGGCTTATTATTCCTTGTGAGGCTTATTATTCCTTGGGTTAATCGACCCTGACTCGGACCACGAACGAACTCCGCGTTGATTATGTGAGGGCTGTTGTTGCTCGCTAGTAGTGAGGATATCTCTTGGTACTAGATGAGCTTATGTAAGAGCTTGTCTGGTGGTTAGGTTCACCACGTGTGACATACAGTATTGAGTTTCCTGTTGTGTAAGTAAATCTTGTGTATCTGATATACCTCGGTAATTTGTCAATGCAATAAACCTAACACATTGATTTTCCTCAAAACCCTGTGTTACTGTGAAGTTTATGAAGATGTGTATCTAATTTCTCTTCTAACTGTATAATACTTTCTTCCCTAGGTGACGGTAAACTATTACCAAACGAAATGTTCTTAGGCTTAGTCCACCGTTCGTTGTACGTTTCTCCGTCCATCTCTACGCAAGGCCACTAAAAACTTTTGTTAGATAATTGGCGCTGCTATTTGTGTCCTAGAATAAGACCTCTCACCCCATTTTTATGTCTCTGCCCCGTGCACCCCCGCCACAAATGGTGTCAGGAGTGGGAGCCCTTTTATAGGGTTGATTTAGTGCCGTTTTATCTGGTAATAGAGAGCAGCAGTGCAAAGGAAACTCTTGGCGCAAATTTTGGGAGTTAAAACTCTGAGGATTAATTGTGACAACGTCACGCTGTTATGTTGACCTGGGTTTTCTCTGTTGTCAGTGTTATTTTCGTGTGTGCCATGTTCTTTGGTGTGGTTTCTGTTGAGGAACCGTGCGGAATTGGGCACATGTACCTTGCGCCTAGCCGTAAGACGGCAACTATCGTTGAGTTTGGGTCGAGCAGTTCACTTGTCACATACCACTGTCACCGAGTGACCAGTGGCCTATGTAGAAACTTTGGTCGGGGCCAAATTTCCGAGCGCAGAGTTAACATCAGCACGATGAGTAAGGATAGGCCTATTGAGGTCGGCTCCAAGGTACACGATGACAAGATGTCTGTCTCTAATGACCTGAATCACTTCAGAATGGAGGCGAGTGGTTAAAGTGGGCGAGCGATCGTCACTCCGCTGAGTTTGAGGTTCCTCCTATGGGCAGGGATATACCTCGTGTAAAAGAACAGAAGTTGCCGGAGGTCGGAGGATAATTCAGCGTATGTTCATCGAAGGCATGGGATTGTACAAATATTGGCTTAAGGACAGAGATGAATCAGAGGGAGGCAATATCAGTGGGGAGTACATCTCGCGTGAGGTTAACTCCAGCACCAGTGGTTTGCCCTTGCACGGACCCGTTTGTGATGAACAATGAGGTTGATGGCAGAGGGGTACGTAGGAAAAGAGACGAAGACCAACGAGGTTGTTGGTGAGGTTTCTACAATGTTGTTGTTGAGGTTAACTTGCCAGGAGTGGGCCGACGATCACTCAAGATGGAGTTGCGGTCGGTAGGTGAGGATTCTAGTCAGCCGCAGGAGAGTTAACCCCGCAGGCTTACACGCGCACGTGTGTAATCTCTCGGTTGAACCAACAGAGCGGCTACAGCAGAACACGAACTAGGTGGTTATTAGAAACATCCCATCGTCCCGACCAAGTACTGAATCAAAATGCATATCCAGCCTTTGTTTTACATCATCTTTATAATCACATGTACAGCGGAGAATCGACGGCAAAATCTTTCAAAAAAGAATGCAAAATGACAATTAAACATGAAATGTGCGTTGGTTGTAAAACCTGAATACCGTGCATAGTTCCCATAAAGATTGAACTTGAAACAAACAGCTTATCTTCCAATCTTTGCATGGAGTTACCTATTGGCGGGTTTTGGATGCTCATAGTTTTATTCAAAGATTTCTTAAAAAGTTGCCTTCATTGTGAATCATTTTGGAAAGAAATTTACTGTCAGTAAAGATTATTATTGCTTATCGACAGCAGACCAATGTTGGATTAACATGGTCATATAACGCCGAGTGATGACTAAGCAAACATTGAAAAGACGTCGATATATGCCTGTGTCAAGATAACGTGTAACTTACACGTCAAGTAGACGTTAGGTTCACGTTAAAATTGTCATGAAAACGTCTAGCTGACGTCAAGGTGATGGTTTTTATTGGTTATCACACTTCCAGCCCACCCTCGCTCGACGTTTGCTTGTTTTTCTTTCACCGTCACATCTAGCTTTGTCAAGGCCGTGTTACACGTTGACGTTTTAGCCAGCGTATGCCGCCGTTCTCTTGAGAACAGGGAATAACCTAACTTCTGTGGTCACGGTATTTCTGGGGCTTCCGATCGTTTGCTGACAAATAACTCTTTTGTCTACATGTTCATGTAACAAGTTATTACATTAAAATTCGTTCTGTTACATATTGCAGGATCACGTATGTTCACCCAGCGCTGCCTGTGTATTAATTTAGTTAACACATTGGATTGTATAGGATGGCACACGACAGGGGAAGCCATCTTCCGGTCTCGTCTTGGTCAACTACGGATTGGAATGTTGAACAAAAAGAGGCAGTGGTGAAGAGCCGTAGCCAGTGTTCGTTTCTTGTGAATGCTGTAGTCTCACATGGAGACACCGCACCGCTTGTTCCCAACATACAGTGCAACATAAACAGTTGAAAATATTTCCTGTTGGGGTTTTCCTGGGGATATACCCCACATTTCTATTTGCAAAGGACGTTAGTAATAACATACGGTACATGGTAAACCAAAGTGCACAAGTTTTTTAATGTTTTATTAAGTCCTTTTCATGGAACATCGTCGTGTAATGTCCTCAGCAGCAAGTGACGATTTTTGATGTATATAATATACTGGTTTTTATCGACATATCACACCCTAACGAATTCTACAGTACGTGTAATCGGATGTCAACTGGACTTTCGGTCAGGTAATGAATTGCTGTGACAGAATTAAATCATAGCGTGAACCAGCTTTTAAGATCGTGCATCTGGCTTCGAAAAACTTTTGCAAGGTAATTACCATCAGGATGGCCATTTAGTTCAGCACTCTTTTTATCTTTATGAGTTTCAGATATTGACCCTGTTCAGACAAAAGTTAAGACTGACGTCACATTTTGACCCCAAAACAGACATTGAGGCGACCAACGTTGTGACGCACACAGAAGTAAAGCAGTTATAAATCAGCAGCCAATTACGCAGGCCCAACGTCTGATACCGACGGCAACGTGTTTAGACCTTTGGCGACCGTTACCGACATTTGGTCAACGTCGGTCTGCTGTTGGGGATATAGTTATGAATTACTGGATCGCCGTCTCCTATAGCGTCACGCGTTCCTACGTAAAGTGTGACCCATCATTAGTGATGCCAACACAATGCCCGGGAAAACTTCCAGCTGAACAAAAGATTACAAGATGTTCAACACTGATGTCGCACAATGGAAATTTAGTATACCCTGTATGGCGGAATTCGATTTTCAACCCCCCTGTAAAACTAGGTACATGTATTGTCATATGATCGATTCGGAATGCACCATAACAAAGCAGGGGCGTATAAATAGTTCATACTCCAAGGGGGCGCAGGACTCCGCTTTAATCAATGAGACCCACACTGCGGTTAAGGGTTTTCACCGCACACTTTATTCCAAACACGTACGGTGTCCCGGTATGTTTCAAGCCCGCAAGTTACTCAATTTTCCTGTTTTGTTCATGTCTGCGTAATCTTTTAGAAACATCGTCGTACGAACAAATTTTTGGGATCAGACACCAAGCATGTAAACAACAACCGCGCGGTCGGACTCATCAACCGAATCGTGGACTTCAAAACCCTGCAAAATGGTAAGTACATGTATTGAAAATCTTAAAAGTATGATGGCAGGTTATTTCAGAGCTGAACTTTATACCGTCGAAACTTACTACTGAACTGAGTGAGCTTTTCAAAGGAATTTGTTAGCCGAAATGGAAACTAATACAGAGGAAAGGTATCCTTCCGTCCAGACTCTAATTGAATTGACATGGTTGCATTTAAACTTAAGTGTCATGACACATTAGTCTGTGCGGCGTTAAATGTTCTATCAGCCGCTCTAACGGCCAGTGCTTCGAATTTAAGTGGAATTGCCTGCAAAGGGCAAAATCAATCAGTGGATTAAATTTGAACCAACAAGCCGAATGTAAATCACACGTTACTCATAAAAAAGCCGGCGAACATACAGAGAAAGGCATTTGTTATAGTTAGTTTCAAGAGCACAACATAATGTCTTGTACCTTTAGAAGTCCTACTGGAAAGGTACACCATATACGACTACTGAACCATAATGTACCGTACAATAATTACATCAGTTGCAGTCGGGAATGAATAAACAGCAAATTTAATTTAACATTGAATTAATTAAATCACTTAATTAAAGTTAACATTTAATTTTGTTGTGCGGCATCCTTGCAGAAAACAAAACTGGGAAGTATAAAGAGGGCATAAGAAAAGTCATCAAGAAAATCTAGCGAACAAACGATCTTTGGCTTTGCTTTGTAAAAATGTTTTCCTATGAATCGGTTCAGTCACTTTACTTCATCATACCCGGCCACTAGTGTGCATCACCCATTTGCGTAGACTGTTACTGATCAACAACTAATACTAACTGCATTCACCGTCTGACTATCGGGTAGGCCTATGCGTCACCAATTTACGGTTTCCACTCTCTGTCTGAAATTACGTCAGTTTCCTGTGCAGTTCCTATGATTGGGTGTACAGTAACTGCGTGTTTATGTGACGTGAATCACTTTCACATGGGCCCTGTCACCCTTGACCCTCTGACTTGTAGCTCACGTTTGAGCTACAGACAGCACCACCGTGAATAAAGTACGATTGAGATATGAAACGTTCGAAAGTGCCCGTGACATGGGAAAGAACCATAGAGCTCAACTGCATGTACATACACTGTTTATGGGATATAACTGATCTGACCCAGAGATTCATCCCATCTGCATCAAATTTAATTCTCTTTTGATATGTTTTACAAACAATCGCTAAAACTGGGCCAATCTAGTGTTCCAGAAGTAATTTATAAAGTTCAAACTGCTCGCGTATTTTCTCTCATTGATACCCAATTCACTGAAAAAGAGCCGACAAAATCATACAAAATTAGGAAATTGCCACTGGTATCTTTTCTCCATTCAACACACGAAGGAATTTTACGACACCCTATATAATGCCATCATGTATCAATTTTCAAAAAGTACAGTATAGGTTTCTAAAGTTCATTTTCCGAAGATACATATAAAATATATTTTTCCAACATCGTTTTACAAGATGTATTTTCCAAAGTTCGTTTGCTCGAGACAAATATTCTCCAGTTTGTTCAATGAGATCTTTATTTAGAAGCATTGTTTGTATTTTTGAAAACAAGTCGTTTGAATGAAAACATTGCGGATTTGGTTTTCGCCTCTCCACAACATCGATGTGTTTGTTCAGCAGCCGCCTATATCCTGAGGTCAAAACCAACAGATTTGTTTCACATCTACACAAATGAAGTACGGCTTTTCGTATGGGAATAAGCATGTACATGTATTTCATCTTTGCATTCCCGATGGAGAGTTTTTCCTTTGTTTTTTTCAAACCAGTGTGTGTTAGAACTCTTCATACATGGCAGCCATTCTTGCAAAATATTCTCACAAATCACAAAACTCATGGATCAGTCCATCCAAAGTTAATTTGCTTCATTATTCCACTTTATTTTATTTTCGGGTGTATTTAGTACTTTCCTACATAAATTTCAAGATTGCATTTTTACACAATTTTGTTTCTTTTGTTCTCACTCCCCTTTCTTCGTTTTCAGTGCAAGGTACTGTGAACAAGGATGCAAGATATCAACCCAGTAACTAGCAAGAGTAGCAAGAGGACCAATGGTGTAACCAGTTTACGACTTCTACAGTGCTGTGGGCTGGTGTCCAGGAATTATCCGTTAAACTCTGCAGAAATCAACGAAACGAATTTTCACACTCACCATGCGCACGCGACGAAGTGAGATGCTACGGTTCTTGAGCACGTAGGAAGTGAGTCTCGGGGACTCTGAGCTAGGATAATGGGCTCAGTGCGGACAACGTTCCTGAGGCTGTTGTTAATTACTGCAGCGGCGCTCATAATGCCAGCGTACTTTGCGGTCTGGAAGTTCCTCATGGTGGATTCGATTCCCCATAATAGATTAACATCGAAAGGATCTCACTCCACTCATAACAATGCAGGGGCTCAGTTTGCAGATTTGAGGCGACCAGTGGCAAAACAGTCTGAGTCCTCAAATAAGTCCTCAGGTTTTTCGCCTGGAGTGAAATTGGCCACAGAAACGCATCAACAACGCAAGAGAGCAGCTGCGAAAGATCCGGGTTCCAAGACATTGCAAACCCATATTACAATAGAGAACACGCCGTCCAGATCACACATAAAGTCAACTGAAAA